TGCTTCAGTCTCAAACGTGGCTCTGTATCTAGTCCTTGTGTCGTACACCTACTTCAAACGGGATCGAGCAGGCAACGGATTGATATGAGGAGGCTCGTACTAGTAGGCGCGGTACGGTAGTAGCGGTTTGAATGGTAGTAATTAAGCATGTTTCTTACTGCCCTTCTTCTATTTTCGCCGGTTGCGAAAGGCAGGAAAAATGTACGAGAAAGGGGAACACGCCACAGCGCGTTCCCTCCAGCTAGATATGCATGCCACAGGTGGCTACTTAACTACGAAGTACATCTGGTCTCATTTTGGCGACACCTCTTCTCTTCGTCACCTCACATCAATTTGGGGAAGTCCCGTGCCTTCCATCCTGGCCACTCCAGTTCGTGATTGTCCACCTCTTCAGCGGGACCTTGAGTCTCTCGAGTCGACAGCGACGGAACGAGCAGTAGGGTAGTGGCATCCTAGGCTCGGTAGGCACGAGGAGGAACAGTGGGAGCGTTCGTAGTAGCGTGGCCAGGTGCAGAACCCAGCGGACGGCCGTTTGGAACACTACCTGTATTCCTGGGTGCGGTACACTTGATCGTTCCAGATTGACCCGTTTTGCTTTCGAATGGCAATTCGAACGTCCTTCAGGCTTTTGGTCAATTACATGGCCCTCCTCAGGGAACTGGGTGATATTGTTCAGGAGATATCGAACATGGTTGAAGATATCGAAAACGTTGATGCTGTTTATGAACATGATCCAGATGGAATGGTTGTAGCTGATGTGTGACGCCAAGAGCGGGCCTAAATGAAATAGCTGAATTTCTTAAACCTGACTTGAACTGGAAACACTACTGCCAGTAATGAACAAATTGCGTGCAATTGTTCAGAATTTCGAGACATTGCTGTCTACGAGCACAAATCTGCAAAAGCTAAACAATGGCAAGACAGTAGACAAACAGATCGCCACACAATTCGGCCTCTACGAGTGGTGATTGATTGCCCGACGCGATGGAATAGCGTCAGAAATCTGCTGGCAAGAATGGTCGAGTTGAAGGAAATCTTGATGCTACTACGAGCCGCGAAGGAGAAGCTGAGTTCAAGGACGTAAAACTCACTTCACCTGAGCCTTCACACTGGTTTGAAATAAGTGCCTTATTTTACTTCTAGATCCATTTGCAGCAGCGACAGAGGAGCTCGTTGGCGGTTACCTACTCTTGCGGTGGCACCTCCGTTTTAAGGTTCATCAAAAGGTGGTTCAAACAAACCGATGTTTTCGATAAACCAAAAGCTGTTGAGGGGCAATAGCGTTATGTGAATGAAACCCTACTTCTAATGCAATATGTGCAAGGAGCCCTATCAGACATGTTCGAAAAGCGATTTAAGAATTTGCCACCGGACGTATTGTGGATCTCGCTCTTGGATCCACGTTTGACGAGAATTGATACACTGGACAAAGACGATTGAAGCTTCAGAGCACTTGTTACATGTAGCCGTTGAGATGATAAACGAGCTATTTCCTTTACCGGTCATGGCTGAAGTTCACTTGAGAGCTCGCGAGCTATAGCACAACGTTAGCTAGCACGAACTAGTATTAGAGAAGGCGATCTGGGAAAATGAGCTGCTGTAAGAAGACGCCAGCTGAATGGACTTTGCGCCCCTCCAAAAGTTAGAACGTAAGACTTAGATAGGCGATTACCTTGTCGGATCTTCATTATGACACGACGAGCTGATCAGTCATACCGAGAGCGTCAACGACAGTAGCGAATATGCCGAACCTCTGTTTTGGTGGGAGCGTAACTCAATTCACTTCCCTATTCTAGCGCAACTTACGAGAAAGTGGTTAGGCTGCGTGGCGACATCCGTGCCATCCGAGAGAGCCTTCTTTACTGCTGGAAATATTGTAGCGGCAAAGCTCAGCGCACTACACCCGAAGTTTGTTCAAGATTTATTATTTATTTTTTCACGAAAAAATGGGGAAGAAGCAGGTAGGAAGATCTAAGTACACGTTCGTTCTTTTTCTCAGACGTTCCTAATTTCTTAGAAGTATTCTGATACAAATCAGTAGCCATAATGCGACAGTGAGATTGGTTGCAAATGAAAACGTGTTCGCGGAAACTCGCCCCATTTCGTCTTGAGAAACTGCCATCCTGCGCGGTTTGCATCATGGAGCACACCAAGGTCGTTGACCCAACGAACACTAAGCAAAACTTTAAGACTCCAGCTTAAAGACCAAAGATAAGATGCTTAAGTATACTAAATTCAACCATTACTTTATCTGATTTCTGAGGGTTTCATGACAGCAAAAGGAATATAGTTAGAGCATCTCATTACACAGTGGACAGTCGAGGCAGTATTCTCATAAAGCTGGAACAGTTTTTGTCAGTTACATTCTACACTACACTGATAGAAAACGTCTCCGTCAGTTTAGCAGTTTTCGAAAACGTTGTCAAGCCTTTTTGACAGATTTTGTCACACGATCACGTCAATATCGACACTTTCCGAACGTCAGCTGTGGTTTTCAACACTCATTATTCTTGAAAATTACAGAGCAGCTCTGTGTACATATTAACGACAATATTCTAAGAATACTGGTGGAAGTTGGTCCTTGGAACACATTTTTTTTCAAGTTACGTCCAGTATTAAAAATAAATGCCTAGTTAAACTTCAGCATGGTAAATACGTACTTAAACGCGTGAAATGGCTTCTCTATGTTCCATTTCTTGTTAATGACCAATAAGAATTGGCAAAACGCAACAAACTGACAACATTGTTTACACCTTCAAAAATATGGCCTGGTTACGCGAGATGTCCCGTTTTAAGTAAAACGGGTATTGTTGTGCATTTCGCTTGTTTCGTACGGTAGAGTGTTGAATTGGGCGATAATAGACCGATTTAAATACTAATTAGGCATAATATTGTGTATTCTTCCCTTACACCGCTGACCAGCGTATTAGAACTAATCGGCGGATATACACCGGGTTAGAGCCGGATTGGGGGTCGGCAAACCGCCTAACGCGAGGAATAACCATAAGTTAGTGAAAAGCACTGAGATGTGATAAGACGATATGTAACGTTACAAGCACAACTCGGTGCTTGACTCGAGTCGAGATATTATGTTTTCGAATACAACAAAAAGGATGACATTGGTACCGAGTTTCGTGGATCGCAACGGGCTAAACAATATCGTTGTAAGGGACGTGCTCAAGCTTGTGGATTTCAGCTGAAGGTGCAATACTACTCTACCAAGAAAAATCGGGGTGAAAACGCAAAGTACGTCTGCAAGATTCTGAGTAGCCAACACTTCTTTGACAAAACGCATCACACGATAGTACTTTTTAAAAAGACTTGCTTCTTCGCTGTTATTGCCATTCACGTGGCGAAGATGGGAAGACACCTTTATGGCGTTGATGGCGCCCATTTAAATGGAGAAATGAATACTTATGGGAGATTTTCCGTTGCAGCAGCGAAAGAAGAAGGGTGTTATCAATGATATGGTCGCAGTGACTATGAGAATGACTAAAAGTTATTCGAGAAGGAACGTTTGAGTCGAAGGACACAGAGCGTGCCCCGTCGAAGAAACTGCTGCTCGAGTGGCGGTCTGTGTGCTGGTAGCCGTAGGGAAGTACGAAGCCGGCTGTCGTTGCGTATTTGAGAGAGATTGACAATAAAAACTGGGTCAAATTCAACAACAAGAGCAATTCAAATTGCCGACTTGCGAATCTAGCTGATCAAGCTAACAATTTAATGGCAACAATTACCACAGCGCCAAGCCGTTAGAAGCCTATGTTATGTACTTTCTCAAGTTAGGTGTGCTGGTATTTGACAAGAGACAAATGGCTGCTTACTGGTTACTCTCGAATGCTGAATCCGAGCTCGTGCGAATGCTAGGAACGGAGCGCAAGAAATTGGTCATTACAGGTGAGCAGTGCAAGGTAACCCTGTGCATGGAGGGAGTGTAAAACGTACTTATTTAATTCCATACAACCGACCAGAGCGGGTTCATCGTTGGCGTATGGTTGGTCAAGAGTGTTCATGTGGTAATTGGCAAGACAGGGAATTCCCGCGCGTCCCTGCATTTCCAGCCGCTATTAATGAGAGGCAGCGTTTGGACACTCAATACGATGTCAAACATCTATCGATCCCAAATGCCGAGATATGTACACAGAGCTCTTTTGACCATGGCCAACGGATGTATATCTTTCAGTTGCAAATGATCTTATCTATGGGAGGGGATGGTTCTTTCGTAGTACCGTTGGCCACTGGTGCGGCACATGTGCAGTAGTGTCGACGGCAAACACTCCGGAAGCTCCAGTGGTCCATAGAAATTAGTGCACCAAAAAAGGAGTTTTGCTGATGTTGAATCAATATCTAAGCCTAATTGCGTTATCCAATAATATCATTGTAACGTATTGGTGTGGTGTACAAAACAAACAAATTCACCATAATTTGGTGGGACAGATAAGTATATTTTTGTTTTTACTGACAGTCATTCGCTGAAATACGATTCAGTACGATACCTATAAAACTGGATGCTGTTGGCGGGAAATTGCTCTTGTTCATGGAAGCTGACTGAATCGCTGATGATGTCGCAGTCAGCTGCAGCATATACAAAGCCATTTCATTTCCAGATTTCGGTATGTCTGCCTATACAACTGAGATAGAGCAAACCATCGTTGCTCAAATTCAAGCGGGTTAGATTATTCTTAGTGCTCCGTCAGCTACGCAATTCATAAAAACCGATTCGGTCATAGATCCAAGCAAAGGAGGGCAGGTCTCTAACGGCTGTGCGACCAGGCCCGAAGACATTTTTTCGAAAGTGGCCGGTCTGCTACCATTCTTATAGCTCAGGAGGTGACGCTGCTCAGCTGTAGCTTAGGTGTGGGTGAGGGCTGGTACAGCTGCTCCAAGGAAAGGTTTCCCACTCAAACAGGACGTTCAGTTCAATCGCTGTCGTTGAAGCGTAACTGTGTCATCTCTGCCGATTAACCACTCTTTTTAATACCCTTGCAAAACCCGTCGTTGAACTTGACCACTCACGTATCATTAATATGAACGCGACTGCATTTCAGAAGCAGCTAAGGAGCATGCCAGTCGTCGTTGAAGGAGATTCGAGCAATTTATAGAGTACGGAGCTTACCTCCAGCCTCCATCTCATCAGGGCCCATGTGGAAGCGCCTCTGACTTTGTCGCACCACCTACTGTCATCTTGCCAAGAAAAATAGTGTCGTAGCGTTTCCTCGCGCGATGCCATGAGCCGGCTGCCCCTCCATCGGGTTTCATAAACACGGGTTTGTTCGAAGAAGGTCTGTAACTCTCTCTGCCTCAGTATGAATCGACCGACCGTTCTTCTCCTCGACAGCTGCGAGTCTAACTGCGTCTCTAAGGTCGTAGATGGAGTTGCACAGCTGAGTATCATACTTGTGGTTCTTCCTCCAAACGCAATCCACCTGCTTCAACCTTTGGATGTCGCTGTATTCGCTACACCAAAGAGCAAGATTTGTAAACTGCTTGAGGAGCATTTGGGGGAAGCCAATGAAGGTTTCTTCATCATACGTAGGCGCCCATCAATCTTGCTTGCTTGCGCTTCTGTCCGTCCCGCCCGAGGTCTTCGGTTCGTCCGTCCACTTGCTCAGAGACGAGCAAATCGCCAATTGAAGCCGTCCTTGATCTCACAGCCTTCCTCGTGCTCGCCGTACCCTTCACTTTGGGTTAGAGGCGACACGTGCAGTCCTCCTTCAACGTCGCCAGCTGCCGTGTGCGACACTTTGGCAGTCTCTGGTGGCTTCTACGACCGCGTGATCGTCCATCTTGCCCTTCGCTCCTCACGCTGCTCTTGAGCGGGCCGTTGCGCCCGCTGACGACGCTGTCTGTCCCCACGCGTTCGCACACGTCCATGCCACAACGCCTGTTCTTGCCACCGTCCACACTCATGCCTTCATGTGCGTCAATTTTGCCTCGCCAGGCGGTGCCACATACATTACAGCAACTTTCGTATAACACCCGTAGTTTATTTGATATTAGGTGCACCCATTGAGGCTGACAACCATCCATCAATCGCCACAGCTCAGCCGGCGAACGTTGGCAAAACATCGGTGGCTGTGCCTACAGCAGGCGATTCTGTATTCCCCGCTATGGACAAAATAAAGTAGATGCGTTGAAGTGGAAGCAAAACGCCCCAGTAGGCGCTTCCTCTGATATCGATGGTGTGATTCTGGTCAAGGATCGTATTTAGAACCGAAACGCAGCTAAGGAGCGCGTGCCACATACGAGGGGAAAGTCCACAGACAGAAACTCCTCTTTGTGGCCACGGACGGATGGCCAACGAGCCACCCAGCCCATCAAGTGACAGTCTAGCGAACTTAAATTCGTAGTTCAAGGAGACCCCTCAGGAATTTCTCTTATTTATGAGTAGTGCCAGCGCTCAAGTCAAATGCGTACATCCATTATTTTGCAAGTTACTAATATTTTGTTTCATGCTGAGTGGTAGTTTGAACTATTCAAAAACATATCATGCACCAGTAAACACCCTTATCGTTAGATACACGTGCTCCACGCATGAACGTATAGTCGTTAGTCACGAAAACACGAGGTACGACCGTAGGTCAATGTAAGGTATTCCCCATTTGCAGCCCTCTTGTGGGGAGGAGCTGGCAACTTTTGTGTCTCACGCTCAGGTATGGCCTCCAATTGAAGCCATATCGCTAGCCGAGCGTGACCAGGTGCTCCGTTACGCTTGAATATCTACCCATTTTTTCCAACAAGAGCGGAAACAGACCACAAACCTCGAACCCCTCTTAATGTTGCGGGGAATCTTGGATCCTTTCCAAGCCAAACGTGACTTTTTGATTGCATCATCTTTAGTGGCGCACGAAGTGTTCTGGAAATTGTGACAAACAATTCAACCGCCAGTGCCAACAAAAAAAAAGGTAGAGCAAGAAGGTGGAGCTCTGTGCACCTGCCGCTATTGATATTGTTGATTCTGCATTTGTATAGATGAACAGATTACGACAAAAATGTTAGTACCATTTTGGAGTTATATTTTTGAGTGAATAGAAAACTCACCATACTAGTGCGGAGAATTAATGGACCCAAGTGTACTTGAACCCGCGACAACATCTGCTCCCCGAAGGGCTCTCAATAAGCTGGCCGCTTTAACGACTTGAGCTGTCAGCACTAATTTTGGTGATGTCGGATTACGCTCTGCTAAGACCTCACCCGCGAAAATGCGTGCTTCTTCAAAATTAGTGATAATTTCCTGCTATTTGTTTATAAAGTTAGCCTAACCCTATATTTCTCTCCGTCGGTCACTCACCACATCCAAAACAATCCATACTGAAATCGAATTGAAAAGCGGCCTTGATTTGACGAGTAGAAAAGAAGCGATGGCATTAACTAGGGGTATTATGGGTGCACTTTGATTGGCCTCACTGTCAGAATAACTGCATAAAAATATTAAGATTGCGGGGCTTCCAAACCTGTCAGATTTTGTGTATGTCTGAATGATATGGTTGCCAGACTTGCAAGGCTCTGTATTGGCCCCGAATCGGCATTTCCTTTACTAAATAATGTCACTGCTATCAAGTACAAAAATACAAAAACTATTACACTTTGTGGTACAAGCTAGTAGTACTCAGTGGAGATCGATAATCGCGTTCCAGTTAATACCCGTAAGTTCCTTGGCGCGTCTCAGATTGTCGAACTGCGTGGCCCACATGCGCTTGGGGCACGATCGGAGCCATCCATGTCGACGGAGCCGCCCTTGGTTTCCTCTTTGTCCTCCTCATACCAGCCTTCCTTATCCAACTCCCTCATAATGGAGTGAGCCTTGCTGGAAAGGCGGTTCGCACCTTTGCGCCTTTCTTTTTGTAGGGCAACGGCCTTTTGGTCCACAGCTTTTATTTCTCTGGAGATGCCTCTCCAATTTAGCTAGGGTGTTCAGCGTCATGTGGCACCGCCAGCGTTTACGAGTTTTCCGTCCTTTAGGACGGTCGTGTTTCTTCTTGAAAGGGTTTCGTAGAACAGATGCCATTAAAGCAAAAAACCAAAAGTGAGGACAGACAGATTCAGTGCAGCAGATACCAATGGCTACCGTTTGTGTCGAAGCGCTTTGGTAGTAAAGTACGCCCATTCTTTATCGAAACTGAAGAATTGTACTAAATAGTTGAATTTGTGTGACAAACACTGGGTCAGTGCTTGTAACGTTACACATCGGTTTGACACATCTCCGTGCTTTTCACTGGCTTATGTTAATTTCTCCACCAAACGCCTCCAAAACCATGTACATGTAGCCACTTTGTTACGAAGGGTTTCCACATTGGTGTGCGATACATAAATGATTACATTTGGCAGACGACTGGTCTGCATGCATTTAGACTTCCTATTCGTGGAAAGGCAACATCTTACTTCCAATTTTAGCAGTAGGTTCTTCCAACAACTCTTTGGCAAATACTTTTCATATACAATATCACTTTTAGAATGGATACTTAAACAAGGACATTCAGTAAATCATAAACAACGGCTCTCATTTCACCGTAATTTAACTTTGTTTTACTTATATAAGTAAATCTATACTTTCGAACGAAAGTATAGTTTATCGAAGTAAAACCACTTTACGTTTCCTCATACACATGCGAACACCATTTTGATCGATAACATCGAGCCGCGTATGGTGCAGGATGATGTCAGACTCCACTGAAAATATGAATGCAGGAACGCAAAGAAGAATGAATCCATGTTGTTTAACATCATCAAAGAGAAAGCACGAGCCCAGCAGAAGTATCGCCAATTGGAGATGGAATAGAAGGTTAATACTGTTCCTACCAGCAGGCAAACCAGTGGCGACATAAAACAAGAGTAGTAGGATGGAGAAATGTAATGCTGGAGTACATTGCAGTTCGTCCGCGGATCCGCGGATCCAAAGGTGGAATCGAAGCTTCCTAAAACAGATGGTTGGCACTGCCATGTAGCTCATTGGCTTCGTGACTGCGCGACCGCGAGGTGATGATAAAGCCCATGCTGCCGATAAATGAAGGAGATTAAAGATAGGTCCATAATCAAGATGGTTCAGACGAAATATCAGCCTGGCCACGAAATGGTGAGAGAGTTGGTTGTACTGCCGTAAAGTGCAGAATCGGGATCAGATCGGACGGAAATTCCACGCAGTGTGATTGAGGAGCTGTCAGCTCTGAACAACAACAACCACGCACGACCACTTCCCGTACCGGTTGATACTATAGTGGCGGGAGGCACCACAATGATGTGTCGCGAGACTGTGACCCTCTGTATCGTATTACAAACTGCGGAAGGTGCTACAGGACATGGATGGCCTGATTATGGAAGGTGAAGCGGCTCAAATTCCTTCCTGGAATTGTCACATTGGTATTGTTCGGTATCGATTTGAACCAACAGGTGGAGCAACATGCTGGACGACCTCTTCCAGTGGATAGTGATCTAGTTGAAGAAGAGAATAGTGCCGAATCAACCTGTCCGCCACCAAGGTGGATGATAAGTACGAGGAGATGGTAGTCGCTGCTGTGAACAATGGGTTTGACCCAGTGTATCTCTCTTTCCTACGCGAGTCTGTCATCAGATTCGAGGATGTTATGTTTGTATTGATTTCGGGGTAGACCCACTAGCAGATAGAGCGCCGTTGCGAGTCAAGCTCGTCGAAGGTGCTAAACCGTTTCGAGTTCCATCAAGCCGTTATGTGTTATCTCAGCACCGTTTCCTCAGGGATTATACGAAGCGACTTGAGCTGAGGGGGCTTATCCGGCAGAACAATCAGGGTCACTGGGCATGTGCAACCGTTCCGGTGGCAAAACCAAAGTCACCCGGTAAATTGTGGATGCCAATTGACTATCTGCCGGTTAATGCACTCACAGTACCATTTGTCGGTTCGGCTCAGGATGTGACAGATTTGGCTGAGGTGGCCGAAGGAGCGTATGATTTTGCGGATTACGACACGCCGAAAGGTATCTGGCAGTTTCCACTCCACCCAAACAGCCACGAGTTAGCGAGTTTCATTATTACTAACATTGTTTGGACTCCAGCGCGTGTGCCACAAGGAGCAAGTGACTTAGGTACACACTTCCAGAATGAGATGCAGCCTGTTTTTGGAGAGATGCTGTATACCCACCTGCTGGTATGGATCGACGATATCTTAGTCTCCCCAAAGGTTCCGGCAGGCTTTATCGTAGCTTTACGCCAGTTCTTTGAGATCTGTCGTGTCAACCGTTTTAAACTCAGTGCGAGCAAGAGCTGTCTTTTCCGGAAGGAGAACCAGTGGTGCGGTCTTGTTTCCGGTGGATGGGCATCCGCAACGACCATGAGCGCATCGATGTACTGCAGAGGCTGCCTCTACCGGTTACCGCTGCTGATTTTCAGCAATTCCTCTGTGCGGTGGGGTGGATGCGGGACACAGTTGTTGAGTTTGGACGACCGACGTGCCCTCTGCACAATAATTTGGAGGCCGTGATATCTGTTAGGGGTCGGAAAAAAATCTGGCGGCAGGTATGATACTAGATTGGACTACTGGTGAGGTGAGTCTGCCAAGCGGCTGATTGGTTCTTCACAGCTTCTTCATTTTCTGAACCCTTTAGCGATGCGAGTGAAGCCGGGTGGGTACCCGTGGTCTCTCAGATGACTCAGTATCATTGAAAAAAGAGGCTTACTCCATCATTTGGGCCGCCCGCAAACTCGGTTATTTATTCACGCGCTCGACTGGGTTTTGCCTATTTTGTGACCATAAGAACCTGATCTACGTCTTTGCATCTTTGCATGAGGTTAAGCGCCGCTTCTAAGGAAAACTACAACGCTGGGCCCTGTCCCTTACAGGATGGACCTACTGTGTCGAGCACGTCGAGGTTTCAGCTAACGTGTGGGCTGACCTACTGTCCCGATCGCTCTACATCTTCGAGTGAGGTGGGGGTACATATGAAGTGCAAGTTATAACTCGTAGTCAACGCCGAATCGATGAGAGGGCTGACCATCAGTTAGTCGTCCTTCGTCCTCGGACGGGAAAACCGCGGAGGTGCGGCACTTGAACGACTGGCGCGGAGCACTGCTGAAGAAGCTGAGCCTTTTGGCCGGTGGTGAGCTGCACTGGAGAAGTGTAAGCACTTTGCCGAACGGGCATTGCATACGGACGAACAGCAGACTGCGTGTGATACGTGACTCCTGTGAGGACACGAGTATATTGTTGGTAATAAATAGGAGCATAGCTCCGGCTGCCTGAAGCGGCCCCTTTGAGTGTTACAAATTTCGGTGGGCGGCTTCGGACCCAGGGCGCCAACCGAGGGAGCACTGCGAGCCGCACGAGCCGCCGACAAGCAGGCGACCTGAGACTTGTTACATTGCGAATAATTCTAGCAGGTACTTAATTGTACTCTTCTCCGGATGGGTCGGATAATATAAATATCCAAAAGGTTAGTATAAATAAAAAAAAACTAAACGGGGGTGTAAATATATCATATTGAGACTAGGTATTGATAATTAAAGGATTGCAACGTCGCGGGTAGAACTCTCGGTATAACGTATTATATCGAATAGTATTGTGGGTTCTACTCAAAATTTGAGATGGCCGTTCGTTGAACCACTTGCCTTCGAAATCGACCTCCCTGTATAACAGCATAAATTATTTTGTTTCAAACCGTGTTGTGCACATTTCAGTTTAAAGATTCGACAGCACTGCATGTACAACGGCGAAGCAGGCGACGCTGCATCAACCAGCAGCAGGCTGGAAGTTCATTGTGACGTAGCTCGCCAAGATCAAGACGAACTCCACCGCAGAATCGAACAGCGCCCTCACCCAAGTTTCTTCTGCCAGAGATAGCCACGTATCGCCATACACACGGATATCACCGTGCGCCGAACGACAGCGAACTCGAACATCACATGGTGCGCGCTCTTAAGCGCCTCCAACCGCACCATCACCATCAACTGAGCCGGTAGCCGTGGGCAGCAGCGTCGATTGTAGCTAGTCGTGCGTCCAATCGTGAAAAGTACAGTTGGCCACTGGCAAGGCCTTAAAAGCCTATGCCGTTAATGGCGAAACATTCTAGGACATCGTGCACAAACGGTGGGCAAAGCTCAGTCTCCCTATGAATGGACAGACAGTTAAGGTAGACGGTGCGTGGACGGTCAGCACTCCAGCAGAGTTAGCATGGACAAACTTTATGCAGTTTAAAGGCAATCGGCATTAGATTGACAGCTCAAAAACTGAAGTGGCGGAAGACCTCTGGGTAATTCTACACTCGGAGAAGCTGTGCGACTAATGATATACGAATATGCATGAGAATCAAAAGGCGCAAGACTTGGAGGAATTTGTACCGGGGTTACACGCAAGTGGCTACATGTAGACACTTGATTACGACAATGGGTTTCACGTTGGTGTGAGGCACACCAATGGTTACATTTTACAGGCCACTGGTCTGTGTGCATGTAAACTTCCTATTGGTTGAAAGGCGATCTCTTTCAACCAATTAGCTTAGCAGGATTATGCCAATCACTTGTTAGCAAATATATTTCATTTAGAATATCACTTTAGGAGGAAACCCAAACACAAAACATAAACATAAATAACAGTTCTCAATTTTAAGATAAATCGGCTTTTGCTTTCTTGTTTAAGTAAATCTATACTTACGTGACGTAAGTGTAGTTAATCTAAGTTTAAGCAAACTACGCTTCCTCATACACGTGCGCTAACGTGTAAGCCGAAGTAGTGGGCACACAGTGAGCCCATTACAGAATTTCGTGACGTGTGTATTTGTCCTCCTTCACTGACCGCTCTGGCGCTGCCGCTGAGCGCTCACTACATGACGTCGTTGCTCAATTTCAAAATGTTTGGGCAACTACATTCCAGGCAGGTGCTGTCGTGTGGCGGATGTGGGCTATTCACATCACACGTGGGTTAGAACACTTTACATGGGATTGCGATGTTCTAAGATCTCCTCCGGCCTACATTGCAAACCTACTCAAGTATTAGACGGGGCCTTTATCCACCGAGATCCTGAAACTATTCAATTCCTGAGAAGTATTGGTTTGTCCCGCTATTGTTACTAGCTTATTGTCCATTTTAACCCTATTAAATGCATGTTTGAATACATGAAGCGGTCCTTCCAGCGACGTTACATAGAAACAACCGGTCATGATCTATTTCCGTTGGTGGCGGAGGCGTTTGGTAGATTCAAGGGGTTCTCAATGCGACGTGTATTTCATCATTGTGGTTGGATGGTGCAAGGCGTGCATGGCCCTACAGGTCCATTGCCCACTGAAAGGAGGCAACACCCGATACTTGTGGCCACGCGTATCGAGAAGAGATTACAGAAGAGAGCCTACGTTTCTCAGACAGGAGAATGTCACTTCTGAATGGTTAAGGGTGCTTCAATTGGGTCGTGCAGTATTGTTGTGGGTGTTGGCGATGTAAACAGCGCTGGAAGAGCTCACGAGACTACAGACCGTACAAGTGTGTGATAGGTTATTCATGGAGGAATTTCCATAATCCAGTAGTAGTGTACTGATTTTTCTAGATTATCAGATTAATTCATAACGTGGAGTGTCAATATCAGTTCGATTGTACTAATTTCGTACTAATTAGCAATCAGAAGACGCATGCGTGCTAGCAGTGTACCGAAACATTCTATTGCAAATACACAACTGACATGTTGGCACTTTCAGGACCAACTTGAGTTATTCTTCAGAATGGAGTACAATCCACTCCGTGAGTCGCGGAATTGCTACCTCAACATCTACAATCGATAAATCCCTCTGTGTATTTGCGGGAAGTCACTTGTTTGGTCACATTGCCACCCTTTGACAATAGAAAATTGATTTTTTATCGTTTAGCGCATAGTGGCTACCTGTTACTTCCTGTCGGTCTTCGTGGATTTTGATTAAAATCCGAAGCATCATAAATTTGGACTGCAACATCTTCTATCCATATTTAACTTGTAAACAAACGCAACTGCGTACGAAACCTAACTATTAATATCTGTAGGTTGCGGATTTTTGTTTTTTTACTGATAGCAATAAACTATCGCACAGTCGCAAATACCGAAATAAATTGGCGATACATCAAACGTATTTCTTCCGTTTTCACTATCTGCTATTTTTGAATTGGTCATTAAATATAATTATTCTTTACCAATTACATTTTTTGTACATTCAGTAAATTTTGCAAAATTCGTAAGTGTTGGTTATTTTGCGCAGATGCTATTTTGGTTGGCATTTTTTCTATTTTCTCACTTGATCTCATTCTGGAAATGGTGTCACCAAGAGAAGCCACTCTCCCAGTACAGCAGTCTGCTTCACGGGGGGGGGGGGTGGAGCAAATACAGCCCACGATGAATTTGACAATGGGGATCCAGAAGTTGAAAAAGGCGCCCTCCATTCTATTCTTCAAGCTGCTGGTGTTCTCCCCAATAGTTTAGACAAGTTCGGCAAGGCACGCTTCGTTGCCCATAATCACTCAAAGTATGTTGGCTTTACTCGCCTACCATGCGTCGAAGGCTCGCTTCCACGCCCAGAAACAGCTCTTCGCAACACCACCCAGGATACACAAGCTTTGACAAACCCTGTGGTGCGAGACCTGATGGCTATGCATGCGAGATCGACCGCACCTCGTGACAGTCATGCAATTCATGATTTTCTTCGATCTCGTGGAATTGTGTTGGCTAAGAGCGCAATTTTTTTAAAAAAAATTCAAGGATGAAATTTGACATTGACGATCACCTCAGAGGGGATGTCGTGGAGCGTTTCCAGAAACTACAGGCCTACTTTGAGCTGGTAGCTGCGAAAAAAAAACAGGATATTTGTGGGAAATTGACAGAGAATCCGAAAACGCAACATTTAGGTGCGCCTGCTTCATTCCAAATATTGGAGAACACATTGGCAAAATGTGCAAGCGCTTGATAGGATTTGACGGGACTCATGTGATGGACGAAATGAACAAAAGAGAGGTTTATCTTGTCGCCACGACCAAAACCTTCAACAACCATGTGATCCCGTTTGCACTAGCGCTGGTGCCAATTGAAAACTACGACAATTGGACCTGGTTCATGAATTGTGTGAAAACTTCGGCAGGTTTGGAGAAAATCAGTGTGATTCCCGATCGCCAAAAGCGACTTTTGGCTGCAGTTGCGGTAATGTTTCCTCTTTCCGGCCACCGTTACGGTCTACATCACATAATGGACAACATCAACCGGAAGGGCGGAGAGCTGACTATTGACGATAGACGTATGAACTGTAAAATAGCTCGCAGCGACTGTGAAAATATCTAGAAAGCTGTTCCGTAGCGAGCTCGCCGCCTCCAAACCACCTGCTGTAACCTATCTTGATGAAATTATCGCCAAACACTGGGTTAAGTATAAATTTTGTGAAGCGTTTGAGCTGCCAACTCTCAATGAGATCACGTCGAATCTGTCAGAACAGGTCAACAATTGGATGGGGACTGAGCTCCGAAGTGCCAAGCTTCTTAGCAGTTTTCATTTATATTTCAAAAAACTCAGCGGATTGGCAAGCGAAAAGCGTCAAATGGCAGCGAATTGGCTGCGCCAACACGAGGAAACCCAACTGGTTCCTGTACTTCTTGCGCAACGCAAAGACAGAACTACGGCAGCTGGAATGTGTAGATTCACTCCACTAATGGATGGCGCATACTCGGTTCAGCACCTTGCTCCTCAAATCGAGACGGTCACATTCATGCCTGGAGACTCGTCGACCTACCTGTTCTAGAATCTACACGCGGGAATTGGCAAGATCAAGCCTTTCCTTGTATTCACGCCATCTGCGCAGCGATTCAAGACGACGTTCGACTTGAAGATTTGTATGATGCATAGAAAATGTCTATTGCACATCTTCGCCAAACATACACTTTCGCGTTTCGGCCATGACCGAAAGACGTCACGCTGGCGAAGGGCCCCACACTGTTGGTCCCTCTGCTTCACGTGCGCGTAGGCAAGCGTGGTCTCAAGCCTGGTCTAAAACTGAAACACAGACGCAAACGAGCAAGAAATGCGTTGTAGCTTGATAGCAAAATAACAAAGTACTGGACTTATTATCGAAATTCCGCACTCAGCTAGTTGTAAACAGTTGGAATTACATAATTTTGTATTATCAACATGGATTCTTATTGTGTTTTCGCTAAAATGTAAAGCGATAATTTGAACTATGTATATTTCTATTAAATGATCTCGAAATTGTTTGGATTAATTATCCGAACTGTACAACGAGTTAGATCTCTACTAGACTATACGGCAAAAAAATTGTTCTGGAGTTATATTTGAGGAATTTCTTTTAGAAAATTAAATTTAAATTTAGAAATACAATTTTCTTATCACTGCGTTTGACAAATTTAGTGTAAGGTCGGGGTGAGCCGGCAGTAAATCGTATATATGCATCGGGACTTGTTGCTTCTCGCAGCACTTTTGCTTTTGCAAGATGTCTCCACCTAACAAGCGCAAGAAGCACGCACGAAACTTTAAACGAAAGGCTGACGGCTCCATCTACAAGCTCAAGCTAAACAAGAATCTACCGTCCCGCCCTCCCAGTACAGAAGGCGCTCTGGCCAGTACTGCGACTAACCAGAGAGGTACGGGGTTATTCGCTTCAACTCAAGCAAGACGCGGAAGAGAACAAGAAATGTACGACGTAGAGCGCAACTATGCGAATCGCTGGGTACACAATTTAGAGTTCTATTTAGTACAGTGGGTCCGCTATCGAGAACTAACCTGAGAACCTGCTAAAAAAAGAAAAACCTTCCATGGAAACTCAAAGTTGACTTTGAGTTGGAGGCCATCGACTTAGTGTGGCTGTACCAACCTACGCAGGAAGAAGCTACCTACACGCCGCAGCGAACGCACAACAAGTCAGTATCACTAATAGGTTAAATTCGCAATCTACAATAAGGAACTTAACGTGTGCTGAAAACAGTACCCCTGATGATACGGCTATCTTTCAAAAAATCAGTACCCTACTACTGGATTACGAAAATTGCTTGTTATTCATGATTAAATTATTTAAACCATAACAGTGTTTATCGAATATGCTGTCCGTGACAGCAAATTCATGAAAGAAGTTGAAGCTAATATGATCTTGTTCATTTTACTTCGCTAAATGTTGTCTTCGAGTTCGAAACTACTCTGGATGCCCAAAGTCTTCTGGGTTATCGTGTTCTGGAGGCGGATCAGTCACATCACTCAACGGCGGTAGACGCGTATCAACAAAAAAAAGCTTCAATGGTGAGTTTGTGTGCTTCAAATTGTCGAAATTGGTTGTCCAATCGGGTTCCAAGAGCCGCCCAGCTATCTTTGAGTCTTTGACTTTATTCAATAACCACATTAACTACGTCTAGTGCCAGGTTTGCTGAGCGTGAGAGGCTTGACAGTTGTTGCTCAGCTGGAAAGTCCGCAGACTGAATGCGAACCCGGATTGTCGGACATTGCCACTCGACGAATCTGCAAAATCTCGGCAGCACTTAAAAAAACACCACCCAATCAAACATGCCCTGTAGATCAAAGTGGTCGATCAAACCTTCAACACCAATGGATGCTGCAACTGAAAACCTGGGTTATCGCTTACAATACCTCCCTGATGGCTATGGTCTTCCCACGTAATGCACACCCTCATATTCTTAGCATCCTGCCGTAATCAAACGAGACCTCGTCCAAAACACAAATTAGAAAGAGAGCACCCTAAAATAGAACGTCATTCAAATACCTGAAGTCGTACCCACGGATGCGGGGAGTGCGTCATGCATGACACGCAGGCGAAAAATATAGATCAGGCACTTCCGTGGCTGCACGGCGTCTCAGTCGCCTTTGGTGTCGCCCGGCTATAGCGGTAGGATGATGAACACGCTTCCCCGCGTCGACTTCGGTTCTGCGGCTCACCTGTCGACGACATACAGTATGCAAAGTCGTCCTGGAGACAGCCACTGGGCAGATCCTGGGCGATAACACTCCTCACGGCAAGGGGTCGCTCACAGCAGCGTCCTCCTCAGCCCCAGTAGTCGCAAACCACTGTCCCCCGCTCTCAGAACCCACGAGCCACTTCAATCTACCGCCTCAGTACGCACCAATGCCCTGTTCGCCCTATCAACCCTCGCTCAGCAAGTCTTTCTTCTCTGTTGGGTGAGGCTGGCCCCGCAGAACCGCAGAACCCCACACGTATATTAGCAGCTTAATCCCGCCCAGTACTGGATGAATCGCAACTGAGAGTTAGGCGGCCACCTCCGGTCGTCCAGAGCTCTCCTACGAAGACTACTCCTACCTACCCACTCTGCACGTGGCCTCCTGGCCGTCCATTTCCCTCGTCAACGTCGCCTCTCCTTCCTGCACTCCTTTTCATTACTCGACGCTGTGTCGCTCCTCCTGAGCGATCTTCTTTCAGCGACTGTTTGCCCTTCACGCCTTCTCAGAAGCAGGCCGGTACCGTCAGCCACAGATCTTAGTGCACGTCAGTCACCGACTGCAACGTCTTTCTAGCTTCAACGTCACTCTCAGTCAAGTCGATTGTCACTATGTCGGGGTCCTGTGTGACGTCGACACTGTGACGTGCTCTCCGCCTACTTACCCTTAGAATACAGTCTCGTCTCGATTCACGCCTGGCTGAATCTTCTCCACCTTCCTCGCATTGTTGCTGGGGTAGAGTAGTGTCGTTCGTCTACAAACGGGTAGTCCAACCAAGCAGGTGAGTATTGGAAATCGGGGTCGGAAGACCATTTGCTAGCGAATGTGTTGTTGCTAGCTTTTCCGACGACACATAGTACCAGCAAGTTGAAGTTCTTTATGAACACGAACAAAGATGCAATGGGCAACGACGGCGTGTTGGTAGAGGCGTTCAGTGACGCAGACTAGGCGTCAGACAAGCAAGACAGGAAGTCGGTAACAGGTGGAGTGCTCATGGTGGCAGGTGTGGTAGTGGCGTGGCTGTGTAAGAAGCAAGCGTGAGTCACATTGTCAACCATGGAGTCCGAGTTTGTGGCGGCGTCGCAGACGACGGCAGCGATGCTCGGCATCATGGGGTTCCTGAAGGAGATAGGCTTGAAGCTACATGAGCCACTGGTGCTCCACGTAGGCAACCAAGCTGCCATTGCTCAGTTAGAAGGCAAGGACACGTCGGGGCGTGCAAAGAACATTGACACGCGCCACAAATTTGTGAAGAACTTTGTCAAGAAGGCGGTGCTGGTCGTAGAGTACTGCGAGTCCGTGAAAATGCGTGCGGACATCCTGACAATGCCCCTCCCGGCACCACGACTAAAAGAGCTAAGAGGGCTCGCGATGCTATCAGGTTGACCGCCCGGAAAGGAGTGTAGGAACTCGCAGGAGATTAGGAGGAGATCTTGAGACGTCGCAGCAAGAGTGAGACGACGAGCGGCTCCTGAAGAATGCGAAGGAGAGCAACGACGGAGTACGCAGGAAGGACGAGCAGTTAGGAAACTCCTACAGAGGAGAATGCATATTTGTACATGCCAAACAGGCTTACATAACAACTAAATACAATCAGTCTTCAATCCACCACGCGAGCACACATCAAGCGCTTAACTAGTGCTGCTACAGATTGCACAAGCAATCGACAATTGGTGAATACAGTAAACCTAGTTCGAATCTAGTGGGGCACTGATGGCGAAGGTGATTTTACAGAGAATTAAGGCTGAGAAGTAGGGGATGTAGCGAGTCAAGTCAATTCGGTTAAAACCGAATTGTATTCGAATCGAAACCGGTAAGACCCGGTCCAAAATTATCCGAATCTAACCGGATAGAATTCAGTTCAAACCGGTTTAAGGAAAAGACCATTTGCTATGTTATTAGCCTTTGATATCTAGTAGACCCCCTAGTAGTTGGTACGGGGCAATCGATCGGGAGAGGTAAAATTCTCCCTTCAAGATGCACAGCAGTTCGGCTCGTCAAATTGACAATGCCTATAAAAAGCCTGTCAGTCTGCCACTGTGGCCGTGCCACATCGATCTCAGGCTGTGACCCACAGGTAGCGGCGCCGCAGCGCTCCACACACCACGTGAAAGAGTCTCTCGGTTCTCTCTGAGAGACGGAAACGAGGTGACCGCCGAGCTGCAACTACGTACCAGACTGCTCATATCCTAGTTAGCAGCTACTCCACAAACGACGCTGCCAACGGATATGGATACCGACACAGCGTCAATAGACGCTGATGCCTCCTCAACTATCTCATCAACTGGATCTGCTGGCGGAGTGCGCTTCCGCACCCGCAAAAACGAATCTGACGTCTACAGCTACATCAAGGAGCTCAACACTGGCCATTTTCAGTGTATGGTGTGGGCGAGGACAGGCGTCAATCAGATCTGGCGAACACGTTCTACAACAAATTGGAGGGGTCATCTACTTAGCCATCATTGCGACGAATACAATCCACATGCCGAGTCTAGCCTTGGAGTATTTGGCCGTCGAACAAAGCCCTGCACGGAAGTCGAAATGATGTCTCCTGAGGATGCCAAAGTTTGCGACGACAAACTGGTGCTCTGGATTGTAGCGAATGCCTATCCGTTTGCTGTTGTAGACCAAGAGGAGTTTGTGGTCTTCTGTAAAGCATTACACCCCGGGTATAATGCACCATGCCAACGTACAATTCGCAAGAAAGTGTTATGGCAGTGGAAGATGGAGAAGGAAGCCGCTCGGGTCGAGATTCGGCGCGAGATTGCAGGCCGCCGTTGCAGTTTCATCAATGATATGTGGACGTCTCCCTCGAAAAGAGGTTATATGGTGATCACTATGAACTTTATCGACAGCAACTGGGAAATGCGCTCTGTTATTATTGCGTTCAAACGGGTGCAGTACCCTCACACGGGTAAACGTCTCGCTGAGCACTTTATTAGGGCTGTGAAGGATATGGATAGCGGGATCCTAAGCTCCATTTGGACGGTTACGGTCGATAACGCAACTAACAACACCGCTATGATCCGTAAGATGAATCGAAAATTACCGAGCGAGATTGCCAGACTGGCACGAGCGGCGTTTGAAGAAAACGTACCGGAGTCTCCTTCGGCTACCTCGGCTCAGCAGGTCGTGCAGTTAAGTTGTACTGCACACGTCCTCCAACGTGCAGTGAAGGAAGGACTCGCTAAGTGTCCACTGGTTGATTCAGCTATTGGCTACTTTCGCGATCTTACTAAGAAAATATCGGAATCTACTAAACTGACAGAGGCGCTCCAGCCAGTATGTGCTGGCATGCTGCACGAGTTTATCACTCCTAAGCTGGATGTGGTTACGAGGTGGACAGTACATGGATCATGCTGGAAAGTCTTCTCAGAATGAAGCTGCCTTTGAACGAGCTGCTGCGGCGCATTGAGCTAAAAGAACCTCCATATACTGGATTTACTATCGGCCCAGGGGAAAGCCTCATTAAGGAGATAACGGAGGAGTCGTGGACAGCAGTGAAGACACTATACACCTTTCTCGAGCCTATTAAGGAGGCCACGGACATGTTGTCAGCGTCGACATACCCCACGTTCGGCATTTTACTGCTTACGAACCACGTCATCAAGTTCCACGCAGTTGAAACAATTGAGAAAACGCAGGACGAGCATACCAAAAGGTTTGCTGATGCCGTTAAGCGGAGGCTGGACGATTATGCACCAAAATTGGACAAGAGGGAGGCACGAATTGCAACTGTTCAAGACTGTGGTAGTTTCCGCTTTGCTGGAAATGCTGGTGTGCTATTGCTTGCAAGTTTAGAAGTGAGCTTCCTTCTGACTAACTCCTGCTCCTGCATTCTACTCGACTGCTCCTACTCCTATCAGGGCCACAGGTTTCACCCTGGACACAGCCTTGAGAGTCGAGCACCAGGGTTGCAGTAAAACTGCAACTTCACGTTGATAGACGCCGCTGTAGTTCGGGATGGGGTTCTTGATTCAGGATAGCCTCCTTGCCGTTGAGGAAAGACTCCTTGCTGTGCCACACACTACAAAGACCCACGTGCTAAGCAGCATCGCGATGTCTTAGTGGAGAATGTGGCCAGCGTCAAACAAGAAGTTATGGATGAGTTTAACCAGCACTATCGCGCAGCTTTTCAAGCTCTGCAGCAATCAAACCGTGGACCCCCATCTGCGCAAAAGAAGAAAGGCAAATCACTACGTCTACTTCTTCCACGCAGCACCAACCAGGTTGCCAGTGCTGGTTCTGTTGGGGCCTTCTGTCGTAACGCCGTCATCTTCCACGCCCCCAGCGCCAGCATCTTCTTGTTGCGGGCCGTCCGGTCCTGATCGTGGGCGTTCCACAGCTTCTTGAGTTGCAAAGCCAACTCCACCTCCTGCTTCTGCAGCGTACGCCGTTCGACCTTGAGCTTCTTGAGGTATCGCACTTGGCGCTTGGCCTCCTGCGCGTTTTTGATCTTGCGTCGTCGGTCAGCCGTCGGGTTCTCGCCCTCGTACTCGTACTTGCGTAGGGATTCGGCCATTGTCATTGCCTCCATGAGGTTCTGCTCCTCGTCCGTCATTGAGCAAGGTCTCAGCTATCGCGTTATGTAAGGCACATATTGGCGTGGGGCGAATGGCCAATGAGGAGCTCTTCAACTTGTGTACCTTAAGCTACAAATATCGTACGTCCTACACATGTAAAATAATGTACTGCTAACGGTAGCTTTGCATCAGTTTGGCCATCATTTGCTCCACGTCGATCACGTCCGCCTCGTCCACCTCGTCCGCCCTCATGCGAAGCTTTACGAATCTGCTCGCCCGTGTGGTCGTGTCCGATTCCAAGTCAAAGCCAATGGGCATCAAGCGGATACAAGTCCTGTAATAGTGTCGCTGGCTCTTGGCCTTCACGTGGACTCACAGGCGACAGGATGAGCCAGCCGCATTCGTCCATGTAGAGGTTTTTGTTATTCCCCCCCCCCGCCCTTCAGCCAGACCACGCCACACGATCACCATTCGCCCGTCCTCGATATATCGCCTCAACGTCAAGTAGATCTGCAAAGTGTCGTTGTACCTTAAGTCCTCGGAGAAGTCCAGGCGATACGCTCTAGCTGCAGTATTATCGTCGTCCTGGATATCCTGGAGCCAAGTCTAAGGCTGAGAAAGCGGGGAACGTTTGAGCGAAGTCAAGAGGAATGACAGTCATGCCTAACGTTTCCAGGAACGTGATGTCCTTGCTCCACTCGCGGGTGAATCTTAAAGTCTCAGGTGGGAAACACTTATAGTCCACGTCTCGAACGACGTAATTCGCCTGAGCGTACAACGCGTCCAGCTCGTTCATGGAGGTCACAAACAGTGATGCCTGTTTCTTCTGCGTCTGTCCTTCAAGCAGGCCGATACTTTCCGTCTCGGAATTGAGGAGACAATGACGCAGGAACTCTGTAACTCGCTGTATCACTTTGGCTCGAGTGAGTACCGGCTGCTGCTGTTTCACCAGGTAATGCAGTGTGGCATCCTAATAACCTGCGTTTAAACATCGACTGACGTTCGTCCCAACTCCAGCACGAGCTTCGTCAAAAGTACCGAGACAAGATCAGTAAGCTCGAGAACCAGCTCGACGAAGCCGTGCACTTATACCCGCAGGTATCATCGCTCCAGGCCAACGTCGAAGAACTCGAGGAGCATCTGAGTTATATATCTCCGCAGCATCTGCGACGGCCTGCACACGCTCAACAGCTGATAAGATCAGTCCATGTACTTGTCCATGATGGATTCAGCGAAGCGACGCAGGTTGGCAAAGACGTCAAAATGTTGCAGGTGGACAGAAAACCTCGAAGACCGTGTGCGCCAACGACGCGTAGTACCCGTATGCGTGTGGACGCCAAAGCGACGGCACCATAACCTACGGTACGGCGACTACGCTGACAACGCTACGAGCCTACTCGTCGGAAGAGGCTCTTCCAGCCTCAATGCTCAAGTGTACCGGTACGTAGTAGTACTGAGCAAAACACCTCTTAAATGACATACAAGAAAACGTTACCTTGGCAATAAGTGATAAGAGTGTAAAAGACAGTCGGTAATTCGCTAAAAAAAATAACGTTTGGTTTTACCCAATTGCTAACGTTTCATTATCTCTAGCAAAACATACCACTACTAAACGCATCATACAACAAATTCGTTTTGGGGTGAAACTTGTTTACATTAATAACCGGTTTAACCGGATTTGACTCGGTTTGACCTGGTCCAAATTCGGTTTAATCCGGTTGTGTGAAAAAGGCCAACCCGAAATCCGGTTGAAACCGAATTACATTCTCTACTGTGAAGGATTAGAATAGTAAATGCATAATACCGGTAATATAATCCCGCTAAACATACCATCCAAGTGGACTAAAATTAATTCATGCAAAGGAAATGACATCAGCAAGCTTCGCGCTGTCGCGGCGGCGAGCTTTACATCCACAACGCAAACGCAAGTTCTTCGCGGACCTAGCACAGCTGCTGAACGAGGATCCGCCTGAGATCCGTCCGCTACAAGGCACCTTCTTTGGTCCTGAGCTTCCAGCGGATGCCACAAATCTTCCGTCTTCCAGTCAAGAGTTGAACAGCGCGTCACAAACGCCATGCATACCCTCTCGCTCTCTCACCGGCGACTCTTTCGAGTCGGTTGAGTTTGATGCGCCGCGTACCCGAGCCAGCGGAGTCAGCAATTTCGGAGCGAGCCAGCAGAGCTCATCGCATAATGAGTCCATGGCAGACAGCATGCTCTTCCTGCCCAGCGTCATCCGCAATAACAGCCAGAAGCGGAAGGACCAGCACGTGCACTTCGAGTTCGACCTGGAGACGAAAAGTGATAGCGCAAGTAATAACAGCGGTGCCAAACGCACGCCGTTACCGGTGACGACACTGATTAACAGCGGTCTGATGTTGGAGAAGCCTCCAGCCAATGTGCATCTGGAGCTCGCGGACTACTATGACGTTGACCGCATGTGTGAGTTGTCGCCGTGTTGGCTGCAAAGTAACGGAGCGTCTTGTGATATGCACCAAGGTCCTCTTCGAAGACCAATGCTGCTATTTTGTATTCAGGCTCTGGACGAGTTTATCGCGCGGAGCGAATGGCTAGGTCAGCAACACTGGCGTGTGCAAGCCTGCAAACTCGCCCGGAGAGTGTTTACTGCCATGTGGGAAGGCGATGTGCTGGGAGCAATGCCTTCAGAGCCAGACATTTTGCTCTCTGACTACGTGTCGAAGAAGTCGACACTAGCAGGTGTGGCGCTTGGCGTCTGGCACATCATTGCACGGTACTGGGACAAATACAAACAGAATTACCTTCACCAGCTAGAACTGTATTTTACCGACGTACCTGAAGGTGAATCCACGCTTAGCGTATCGAAGTGGGATCAATTGCGAGGGCTACTCAACATATACGGGATGAAACAGAGTCAAGCATTCCGTCTAGTGGAACAGCAGGGAGGTGACCAGTTCCATGTGTGTGAACTCACAGAAAAGATGATTCGTTCTGGGACTCACGGACTTCCATCAATCGAGCACCTGCGCGTTGGGATGGAATATCTTGGTTGCAACGGTGCTGCTTCTAATGTGGACTCTACTACACTCGTTCGACGACCCATGATCAGCCAACAAGACGGGAAAACGGCATTCAAAGCTATCCTTATCCATCTCACGAACTGGAATGAAGAGGTGCAGGTGTTTCCGTGTGGCTCCTTCTCTCGTGGTGCCGCGTTCATATCCGTGCTCGACATTCTCGTCGCTGTTCCAACTCCCGCCGGAAAACCTGATCATTCGCAAGCTGGAGCAGACGCGAGCGCATTTGAAGAAGTGGTAGCTGCCCTGGCAACGGCAAATGTGATTCAAAAAGGAGCGATGCGACAGCTTTCAAGAACTCGTGGAGCTTGCATCATTCCGTTTAAGAACAGCTCGATTTTGCTGGACTTGAAGGTGTACTGCCCTCCTAGGAGCTGGTTCGCGCTGCTTTACTTTACGGGCCCCGAGGATTTTGTTTTGACGTTCTATGTCAACCTCTTGAATCGATCGCTCCGAGAGATTCCTGATACCACTTTCGAATGTATATATGCCAGTGTGGCAGAAGCTCTTGGGCAGGAAGCACTTCTTGAAATTGCGTCGGAAAAAGACCTCTTTGACATCGTCGGTCAAGACTATGTGCAACCAACAGATCGAGTCTAGCTGAGTGCTGTGGGTCGCAAGAGCTCACATGAGCTGTAGTATTTATTTGACCGTTAACGAGAACATATAAATTTTCGTTAGGTATCTTCGCTTGTGTGCATTACTTCGGCGGCATACGAAGGGCACCATCAAGACGAATGGTTTCACCGTTGATCATCTTGTTGTCAATGATTGAATGCACCAACTGGGCGTACTCCTCGGGGTTTCCCAAGCGGCTTGGGAACGGAACAGTGTCGCCCAGCTGCTTTTGCACCTTCTCCGGGAGCGCAGCCAGCAGCGGAGTCATGAACAAACCTAAGATAAAGGAGACAATTGAGTCAATGCTGCTAATAAATGGCCAAGTGTGCGTCGATTTGTACCTGGTGCAATCGTGTTCACGCGAATGCCATACGATGCGAGGTCTCTTGCAAGTGGCAACGTCATTCCTACAATGGCACCTTTGCTAGCAGCATACGCCGCTTGGCCAATCTGTCCGTCGTATGCAGCGATACTGGCCGTGTTGATGATGACACCACGCTCACCACCAGGCCCCGGTCGCGTTTTGGACATGCTATACAAACGTTAGCGTAATGTTTCTTCCGTGGTTGGAAAATGAAAATGCTTGATGGCTCACCGCTCAGCTGCGAGGCGTGCAACGTTGAAAGATCCGACCGTGTTGACGTTGATGGTCTGTTGGAACTGAAAAAGTTGATGCACACCCTTTTTGCTCAGCGTCTTGATAGCCAGCGCGATGCCCGCACAGTTTACCACGGTGTTCACGGGCTCACCAAAGGAAGACTCGGCTAGATCCAGCGCCGCTGTCACATCGTCCTCGTTCGTCACCTACCCAGGCGGTATCCACAGCATCTCCAATAAGTACAAATATATATATATAAAAGAAGCTACTAGATCGTACGTCTGTGGGGCTGAAGTGACACGAGACGCCGAGCTCCCTCGCAACGTTGACACCGTCGCTGGTCGGAAGGTCGCACAGAACTACTCGCGCGCCATTCTGAACGAAACGGGTGGCCGTGGCACGACCCAGACCGGAGGCAGCGCCCGTGACGATGGCAATTCGATTGGCAAGAGACATTGGAGATCACAAAAATGCAGGGGGATAGCTTCAGGCAGGAAGCAAGTTCGGAAATGACGTTCGACTCTCGCGGCAGATCCCAGTTGAAGTTGCGGAGCAAGGTGGACCACACCTCAATCCAATCATATTAGTGACGTGTCACTAACACACGTCATCAACACTACTTTTGATTCAACAACACCATGAGTGCAGGCACCCAGTCCTCGCTGCTACAGCGCGGCCTGCAGTTCCTGGAGGAGAATGACGAGAAGAGGGCAGGCATGTGGCTTGTGTGGCTGTTTCTCATACTAGTGCGCTGGATGGTGGGCCTCCACTCGTACTCGGGCGAGCACACGCCGCCAATGTTCGGTGACTACGAGGCGCAACGCCACTGGATGGAGATCACTATTAACCTGCCAATTTCGGGCTGGTACTTCAACACTACGTCCAACGATCTGCTGTACTGGGGGCTGGACTACCCGCCATTGACCGCCTACGTTTCGTACCTCTTCGGACGCGCCGCCTCCGTCATGGAGCCAGCCATGGTGGAGCTCACGAACTCAAGAGGGTATGAGTCGGCGGCGAGCAAGGTATTCATGCGCTCGTCTGTGCTATTGTGTGATATCGCTCTATTTATTCCAGCGATCCTCTATATGGCACGAGCACTCTATGGCAACGAACAGTGGAGGCGACGTACTACATTCGTACTGCTGATTTTGCTGCAGCCGGCAATCTTGCTCATTGACCATGGCCACTTCCAGGTACGACAAGGATGAAGTGAATTGTTATATCACGTTATTTTCTTACGTTGTGTGTCTATGCTTTTCTTTTCATCTGAGATCAGTACAACAACGTGTGTCTAGGCTTTACGGCTTTGGGCGTGGCGCTGATCCTGCAGGGGCATGAATTCCTTGGCAGTATCTGCTATTGTCTCGCGCTGAACTTCAAGCAAATGGCGCTTTATTATGCCCCGTCATTTGGAGTGTTTCTTCTTGCACGCTGCCTCTATCGGAAGATGTGCGTTCTCCATCTACTTAAGCTTGCGGTCGCGGTAATTGCTACCTTCGCGTTGATGTGGTCCCCATTTTGCGCTTATCCATCGCAAGAGGAGACTTGTTTATCCACGATAGCACAAGGTACGATATAATCCATAGCTTGAAGTGGGTTTTATTTAAGCTAACCCATCTCGCTAGTTGTTCAGCGTATTTTTCCATTTGGCCGAGGCCTCTTCGAGGATAAAGTGGCCAACTTCTGGTGCATCGTCGACTTTGTTCTCAAGATTCGGCGGCATGTGACCCCCGCACTGCAAATGCGCTTGTGGTAAGTTGAAGTTGTATATTATGGGGCTATATCGAGGTTGCTAATGCCTTAATCCTTACAGCACTGCGATGACCTTTATCGGATTTTTACCATCGATCATTGACTTGTTACGGCGGAAGCCAACAAACCTGCGATTTGTGCTATCACTTGCTATCTGTTCATTATCATTCTTCTTGTTTTCTTTTCAAGGTACGCAACTTGAAGAGAGATACAAATATATGACTTATGCTAACGTTGTGCGCATATTGTGCTTCTGTCGTAGTCCACGAAAAGACAATCTTGTTGCCATTGCTGCCTATTTCGTTCCTTTTTGCGCACAACGCGCTTCTCTCAGGATGGTTCAGCGTGCTATCAACTTTCAGGTTTGTTCGTTCTACATACTGGTGTGCGTTAGCAGCTAATTTTCTAACAGATTGTCACTTCCTTTACACAGCATGTACTTCCTTCTAAAGAAAGATGGTCTGGTCCTTCCGTACATCGTATTACAGCTTGCTTATGTGGGCGTAGCGGTGGCACCATTTCTTACGTCGGGGACTTCAAAGCACCTTCACGTTCAGCAAAGCGACGTTGCACCTGGTTACAAGCAGGATGGCAGCGCTCATCCGCTCTTCCGGGCGTATGTCATGGTAATAATCGTTCCTCTGCAATTGCGTTCTTGAAGAAGTATTTAATCGCCATCGCGTGTTGTAGCTTTCACTCCTAGGGATCATTGTCATCCATGCCGCGCAAGTGTGGATTACTCCGCCTGCGAGATATCCGCACATCCACGACTACGTTTTTGCTGCATATTCCTGTGGTCATTTCCTGTTGGTTCTTGGTTATCTGACGTACTGGCAGTGGACTGCAGGTACACAGTGCAAGACCAAGAAAGAGTAACCAAACTAAGATCATAGAAATGTAGCTGTCACCCGACGTGCATACACTTCATTTGTTCATGTCTGTTTGTACGTGTACCTCTTGCCATTTGTTTAGCCGTGGAGTCAGCTCATAGCAGATTGGCCAGCAAGATTGCGGCTCGGCTTACTTGTTGGACTTAAGGAACTTGAGTTGCTTCTTTAATCGTGCCTTCTCATCCTTAAACGCTTGCAACTGGTAGCAAGAAAGTGTTAGCCCCAAGAACTCGACTTAAATGCAGACTACCGCCCGATCAGCAGCGTACCATCTGGCGATCTTCCTCAGATACCGGGACCCGGTTGGCCTTAATGTCAGCGATGAACGCAGCCTCGTTCTCGCGTGCCTCAGCGAGAAGTTTCTCTAGCGACACCTTCATCTCCACTGGGGACACATCTCCGTGCGGAATGGGAATATCGTCTAATTCACCAACACAGTGCCAAAAGTACTGTAAGTATTTGCTTAGTGATCAGTGCTGCCGGCAACGAACCAACCGTTTGCGCTGGGCGGTTCGACGTCCTCTTCCTCCTTCGAGTGCGTGGGCTTGGTCTCTTTCTCCTCCTTCTTTTGCGTGATAACGGTCGGGAATCCCGCCTGTCTGGCGCGCCATTGTTCGTACTCCTCAAGACTCATGCCGCGTCCCTCAGGTTCCTGGATCGGCAGCCACTTCTTGACGCTCATTGGCAACACATCCGGATCGTAGTACACATACGCCACGCCACTGTATCCAGCAGCAATAACAGAAACCTTAGCACCGTCGACCAAATAGAGACAATTTTAGAAAGGTACCCGAGGACGCCTGCAAGTCCGAGCAGCGTGAAGAAGCTCGAGTTGTCCTGGCCGCCAGCGTGGGGGGCTGATCCCCCGTAGCTGAAGCGGCGTAGCGCCAGATGGCGTGAGCCAATGTGGCGGATGTGGCGCGAAAACTACAATAATATATACGTCAATACACAGTGTGGCCCAACGTGCGGTGCAATAGAGTGTTGTCGTACTCGCACAAGCATGGTCTTCGGTGACACGCGATTCAAGCCGGCAATAGAAATTAATGATGTTCGAAACATCATTTTTAGCTGAGCATTTAGAAATGTATTTCTGTGTTTAGAAATAGATAATTCTATGTGTCTTACATAACGAGGACTATTGATGGGATTGGGGAAAATTGACAGGATGCTTGGCCGCACCATCAGATCCCAAGCTCGCCACCTCCGCTCACCTCTCGTGCTCGCGCCGCGTCTTTCAAGCCCCATGAGCACTACCGCCCCCAAGTTCAAGCTGGCCCTGTGCCAGATCGCCGTGGGTGATGACAAGCAGAAGAACATCGCCACCGCCACCGCTGCCGTGACCGAGGCCGCCCAGAACGCGGCGCAGGTGGTGTCGCTGCCCGAGTGCTGGAACTCGCCGTACGCCACTACGTCCTTCCCGCAATACGCGGAGGAGATCCCGGAGAAGAAGGCGGCTCTGAACGAGAAGGACCACCCGTCCACCTTTGCGCTGTCGCAGCTCGCCGCCAAGCTCCAGATCTATCTGGTGGGTGGCTCTATCCCCGAGAAGGATGCGGCCGGTAAGGTCTACAACACGAGCGTCATCTTTTCGCCGGAGGGTGAGATCCTCGGCAAGCACCGCAAGGTGCACCTGTTCGACATTGACGTGCCCGGCAAGATCACCTTCAAGGAGTCGGACACTCTGTCCCCAGGCAACAGCTTGACGCTTTTTGACACGCCCTACGGCAAGATGGGCGTCGGTATCTGCTACGACATCCGCTTCCCGGAGCTGTCGATGCTTATGAAGAAGCAGGGTGCCAAGGTTCTGCTCTTCCCCGGCGCCTTCAACCTCACCACGGGCCCGGCACACTGGGAGCTGCTGCAGCGTGCTCGCGCTGTCGACAACCAGCTGTACGTGGCAGCGACCTCGCCTGCGCGTGGCCCCGAGGGTGGCTACCAGGCCTGGGGCCACTCCACTGTCATCTCTCCGTGGGGCGAGGTTGTAGCCACCTGCGGTCACGGTGAGTCCGTCGTGTACGCCGAGGTCGACCTGGAGAAGGTCGAGGAAATGCGTCGTAACATCCCCACCACGAACCAGTCGCGCTCGGACCTCTATGAGCTGGTGCAGAAGTAGACAGTTGAAAAGAACAGATACCGTCGCAAAGGTTCTTTCAGCTTATAAACTCGCAGGTTTGAGGGTGGGCGGCATGACCGGATATGAGTACCATGACGTAACTCAGCAGTGAGATTTGTGTGGGTAATACGATCCCAACAAAAGTGTCTCCTCCAACTATGCTGTTGCGTTACGTAAATGAGTTTACACCCTGTCAAGCCACTTCATCTCATCGTCGAACAGCGTCCGTGCCTCTTCAGCCTTGGCTTCCTTCTGCTGCTTGAACTGGACAACAGGAGAGTACTAATTGCAAGCAGAACAAGCAAAACGGTTAGCATATTGCCACAGACCATACTTGGCCCAGCTAACACTTACCTTCAAGTTCAGGTGCTGCGTGACGTTGCGGCGGATCCACCGCTCCTGGCGTTGGAGTCGGTTCTTCACCGCTTCCACTTTCTTCTTGCCGATCTTCTGATTCTCCGAGTTTAAGCGTACAGGTTCCCAGAACAGCACGACTCGCCGCAGATCGGGCGAGACGTTAGCCTGTACGTTGCAAGAGACACCCACGCCATCAGCAACTTCGCCCTCTCGGTAGTTACTACGGCTATCCTGTTGCTCACCTCAATTATCGTAGGCACGATGTCAGCCCCAGACAAATCTGCATCCTCAATCAGTAGGTTCTGCACGAACTCCAGCACGGCGATACCCACGCTCTCCTGTCGATATGTCACGCGCTCAGCCTTGGGCTGTTTCGGTTTCTTCTCCAGTGGAGTCATGTTCTTGTTTTCTATTGTAAAAAAAGAGTTCCGGCAAGTGAAAAAGCGCAGCCGTGAGCACGAGATTAACACTCCCAATTCGACGATTCTGTTGACAACGTACTCAGACTCGTGTTCGGCATCCGCTCAGCGTTCTTGCCCGTCGGCGCACTGTTCGGGTTCAACTCTCCAAGTACTTTCAACAGCTTCTTCTTAGGAATGCGCTCCGTAGCACGGTCGATGCCGTCCTCTCCTTCCTCTTCGTCATCACCGTCATCTTCGTGGGCGTGGCGCTGGTCGAAAGTGTCCATTCGCTTCTGAAACTCGGTCGGGTTCAGACGGAAGAGCTCTTCTGCTTCTTCCAGAAACTTCTCGGTCTCTTCATCGGGGTCCTCGTCATCGTCGTGTTCATTTTCTTCCTCGTCGACTAGTTCCATCGTGTCCGGCAGCTCCTCGTCCTGAGGCTGAGCCTTGCTCGGATACTGCTTCTGCATCTCCTCGAACCATTTAGCAAATTCTTCGTCGTCATCCTGGCAATAGCAATATAAGTCATTTTCACAGTTAGCTACCACTTGTGAGTGTCTTCGCTGCCATCACATGTTGTCATACGCCATCGCCTTCAAATACTGCCGCTGGCTTGGAGGACGATCGGCTCGGTGAGCCTCTGCGATTCCGGCGAGCCGGCACCATAGCAGACGCATGAAGCCCTCGCAGCTGCAGCGTTGCGCTGGCAGGGCCTGCCTGCCTCAGCGCAAATCGGAGCAGCCGCGCAGTCGAATGCATGAGGTGACGAGGAGAGGCTGCACCAACCGCTCAAAATGCGTGTTGGTCATGTAGTTTGGGTCTTTCAAACGAGTGGCTTGGGTTTTTCTTGTGATGGGGTTGGATGAGATCTGTGACGTGTGCAAAACTCTCCGTGTTATCTTGCAGTGCAAAGCAAGCTGACCGTCCAAGCCTTGCAATTTTCATGACGCACAACAGGATAGCTGTCAACACTGCAGGTAATGTCCGCAATGCTCAGGCTGAAAGAGTTGGCGATGGTTCGCGATTTTGATTGTGCTCTAACTAGTTTGTTGGAGCATCTCAAAATTTCATCAGCTGAGAGTCAACACGCTCTATTCCTGCATCCATCCTTCTAGGCATAGTTACTTAGCATTATCCTGGTCCGGCTGAAGCAGTGCTCAGAAATTGGTTCAATAAATAGTGTGCTCTCTGTCGATAAAACATGCTTCTACTACTATGCACTCCTGTTATAGGGACTCCCTATTAGGGAGTACCGGTGCACAGTGTTGTCTCCCTGTTGCACTACAAGTTGCGGTCCAGTTTGGACTCCAAAGTATGTTTTCAACGGCGAAGCATCGTCCCTCTAACTTGAACGGAGGAAAGACACAGAGCCTCTGTCAGAGGTGGACGGAAATTTCTTCAATGCTGAAGCGGGGAATCTAGAATAGAACGGTAGGTATCCGATGATGAATGCGAGGCACCGATCCTAGGTCCGATGTGGGCATCGCGGGAATCGATCAACGGGGTGCCATTTTGATCGCATTGTCGCTTTCATAAGAATATTGGTGTCGTGTATTCTATCTTGCATTTGTAGATTGATGGCAGTGAGTTCTTGCTAGCGAGTGTGCCTGTTATCGATCGATACAGGGATGTGTACGCAATCGATTATGAATCGCGGAGCTCGTCAGCCAATCAGAGAAAAACACCCACGAATCAGCTTCAACTCTTCCGGATCCGGGTCAAGTGGGTGTTTGGGTTTATGTCCGCCCATTCATCTCATTTCTTATTTAGCGACCAAAGATGGTGGTGAGCGAGGACCACCAGGAGCTGCTGCCGCTCGTGCACGGCGTTCAGGACGGTGCCTGCGTGCCCGCAGCCGAGGACGTTCCTAGTGTGACTTCATCTCATCGCCGCGACGACGAGGAACGCGTCGTGTTCCTAGTGGTGCCAGGTCTCGCGGAACATGATCATGCCGCCGCCGGAAAGATCGAAACAGCGCTCAAACGCAGCGCCTTGGGCGTGCGCATTGTGCAGTTGGACCTACTGGAGAAGTTGGCGAGGATCGAGTTGCTGTATCGCGCGGACGAGGAGATGGAGGCGGCGCTGGCCGACGAGGTGCGGCGCGCCACACCCGACCAACTCGTGGCGTACCCCGTGTGGCAACATCGCGAGCGTATCGTTCGCCTGCGTGTAGACGGCATGCGCTGCATGACTAACTGCGGTCGGCAAGTGATCCGCGCGCTAGAACAGATCCCAGGCGTACTTCACATTCACGTTGACTCCAAGTCCAGGACAGCTGAGGTGGCACTGGCAAAGGGCTGCACAGCGACAGAGGTGGATCTCATCAAGTACATTCGCGCAGCCAACCCACGTTTTAACGCATCGATCGCGAAGGAGAAGAAGGAGCGCACAGGCTCAGTACCTGGTGCGATCTTGTTAAACATCACAGGCATGAGCTGTGCCAAGAACTGTGCTACAAAAGTTCAAGCAGCATTGCAAAGTGCTGAAGGGGTGATTGACGCTACGGTCGACTTCAGTAACAAGCGCGCCACCATCATTCTCGAGCCGGAGAGCAAAGTGACAGAAGAAGATTTAGTTCAGGTGGTACGCAGTGCTGGCACGAAGTTCGATGCGTCGCGTTATGAGCTTTTCAACAATGACGGGGACTCGCGCGTGGTGTATCTAATGATCGAAGGCATGAGCTGCGCGAAGAACTGCGCTAGAAAGGTACAGGACGCACTGAATGGCACCAAGGGAGTCATCAATGCCAAGGTGGATTTTGACACGAAGCGCGCTACCATTTTCTTGGAGACGGGAAGCCATGTGACGGAATCCGAACTGATTGAAGTCGTGCACTCCGCCGGTCAAAAGTTCACAGCTTCAGTTGCGAAACCAACCAGCGGACTGCGTACAATACTTCTTAAAATCGAGGGCATGAGCTGTGTGAAAAACTGCGCATCCAAGATTGAACGGGCTTTGACTGCGGTAAAGAGCGTAGAGAGCGCCACGGTGGATTTCCCGCTTAATCGCGCTACTATTCAGCTCGAATCGGGCAGTTCACTGACGGAGAACGACCTCATCGAAGTTGTTCGCAGTGCTGGCGCGAAATTTGATGCAGCGGTGTACGTTCCGTCGTTCAGCCCGCGCACCGTGCTGCTGGAGATTGAGGGCATGAGCTGTGCCAAGAATTGTGCACGCAAGATCCAGCGAGCTCTCAGCGAGACTGACGGCGTTGTGTCTGCATCCGTCGATTTTGCAGCAAAGACGGCGACAGTTGAAGTGGATCCTGATGGCCAATTTAACGACCAAGACTTGCTGCAAGTTGTTCGAAAGGCTGGATCCAAGTTCCGTGCTCGTCTCATCAAGCCAACAACGCAACAAGTTACTGATGTTGTGGACAATTCTGCGAAGAGTGAAGCTGAGTTGCAAGCTAAGTCGGAGGTGGCTTCGACTGCTGCGTCGGATGATGTTGCGATTTCTATCGACTCCGACAAGACTGAGATTGGTGAGGCAACGCTTTTAATTGGTGGGATGACGTGTACCTCGTGCTCCAACTCGGTTGAAAACGCACTGAAACAAACGGAAGGCGTTGTATCTGCTGTTGTCAGCTTCGCGACGGAGAAGGCGACAGTCCGCTTTGATAAGGACATCGTTGGAATCCGAACGCTTGTTGAAACGATTGAGGATATCGGATACGATGCATCGTATGTGTCAAAATCTGAGGCGCAGAAAGCTCTGGGAGACCAACGTGCCAAGGAGATCACGCGGTATCGTGTCGATTTTTTCGTCTCCGTGCTTTTCACTTTCCCGATTGTCCTCATTATGATGGTATTCGACAATATCGCGCCTATTGAACGCGGTTTGGCTTCGGCTATTCTTCCTGGGATCTCGTGGCAGACATTGATTGTGGCAATTCTAGCCACTCCTGTCCAGTTCTACCCTGCGCGTCGGTTTCATGTTGATGCTTGGAAAGGTATGAGGAACAGGATGTTGGGCATGTCGTTCCTGGTGTCGATGGGCTCCAATGCCTCGTACTTCTACGGTCTGTTCAGCATCATTCGCGCGTTTTTGCTGAGCGATTCAAGTGTCGCCAATCCGGACATGTTTATGACATCGTCGATGCTGATTTCTTTCGTGATTCTTGGCAAGTTTTTGGAAGCAATCGCCAAGGGCAAGACATCGGCAGCACTGAGCAAGTTGATGGAACTACAGGTCAAGTCTGCCACGTTGTTGGTTTTCAGCGCTGATGGAACAAGAATCCGGGAAGAACGCATTGTCCCGATTGAACTGGTTCAACGTGGAGACATCCTCAAAGTTGTTCGCGGCTCGTCCATTCCAGCCGATGGTGTCATCGTGTACGGCGAAGGTCGGATTGACGAGTCGATGTTGACGGGTGAATCCAAGACTATCAAGAAAGTTTCGGATGATCGTGTGATGGGGGCGACGGTGAATGTGGACGGATTGTTCCACATGAAGGTGACCGGTGTGGACAACGATACTGCATTGAGCCAGATCATTCGTCTCGTGGAGGACGCGCAGACTTCAAAGGCGCCAATCCAGGCGTATGCAGACTACGTCGCTTCCGTTTTCGTCCCTACAGTACTAGGGCTTTCTTTCCTGACGTTCTCGGCATGGTATCTCCTCTGTATTTTTGAGGTTGTTCCCGGAAGCTGGATTCCTCACACGGACAGCACGTTCGTGTTTGCGTTCAACTTCGGTATTGCTACACTCGTTGTGGCTTGCCCGTGTGCTTTGGGGTTGGCAACGCCTACGGCTGTCATGGTCGGAACGGGTGTTGGAGCTGAGCACGGCGTGCTGATCAAGGGCGGTGAGCCGCTGCAGGCTGCACACAACATTAACACGATCTTGTTCGACAAGACGGGGACTCTGACGGTGGGAAAGCCTGTGGTGACAGACGTGGTGGTGCTTACGAAGAAGCTTAGTACTGAGGAGCTGATTATTCTCGCTGGATCGGCTGAACTTGGCAGCGAACACCCCCTCAGTAAGGCGATCATCGAGTACGCAAAGTTCATCTCGTCATCTCTCGAGCAACCGACAGGTTTCCGTGGAGTTTCAGGACGAGGCATTGCGTGCATGGTCGGTGGGCACAAGGTCGTCATTGGCAACCGAGAGTGGATGGCGGATAACGGTATGAAGCGTTTGACCAGCATTGTGCTACAGCAGGCCACGATGACGTTCCAGAATGCCGGGAAGACTACCATTTACATGGGCGTAAACGATGAGCTTAGCGCCGTCTTCGGTGTGGCGGATGCTCCTCGCAAAGAGTCTATTCGCACGTTAAAGAAGCTGAAGCAGATGGGTCTGGAGGTATGGATGGTTACTGGTGATAACGCTCGCACTGCCTTCACCATTGCTGACCAGCTCGGCATCAGTCGACGCAACGTCATGGCCGAAGTGGTCCCTTCCCAGAAATCTTCAAAGGTTAAGCAGCTCCAGAACACTGGCCGCATCGTTGCCATGGTAGGTGACGGCATCAACGACTCGCCTGCACTGGCACAAGCAGATCTGGGCATTGCAATTGGCGGCGGCACCGAGATCGCCATGGAGACGGCCGGTATGGTTCTCATGAAAGCCAATTTGTTCGACGTCATCACGGCGCTGGACTTGTCCCGAACAATCTTCAACCGGATCCGTCTGAATTATGTGTGGGCACTTGGCTACAACTGTCTGTTGATCCCGCTGGCTGCTGGAGTGTTGTATCCATTCGGCTTCAGCATCCCGCCCATGTTCGCCGGCGGTGCCATGGCCATCTCGTCCGTGTCGGTGGTCACGTCCTCGCTCCTACTCCGATATTACTCTCCTCCAGCTCTCCCAGAGGATTTCAGCGTGGACGACTCCAAGTCGCTACTCTTCAAGAAGCCGACGGTCACCACGCCACTGCTGGCCTCCAGCACGTTGGAATAGACAACACGAAGGTTGCCACGGTACATGTTGCAATGAGACTTTAGTACATTTTCGTAATATTCAATACAAATTTACGTTATACCAGGACATTTCGATTTCTATCGCAATATTTGGCATCGTTCAATCAATCCAATGGAGAGAGAGGACAACTCCGTGCCTGCTCATGCTCAGCCCAATGCATCCATTCTGGCGACAGAGTCTGTTGTGAAAGAGGGTGAAGCAATGTCGAAGAGGCAGCTGAAGAAGCTCCGACGTGCAGATCGTGACCCGGCGGAGCGCCAGGCCAAGAAACGAAAGTCGAAGCGAGACGCGAAGAATGCCAAGCGCTTTCAAGCCGAGGAGCCCAAGTACTCGTTCGCAAATGGTATTGATGAAATACTGGAGAAAATATTGTAAAAGCTGTGGTGCTGACTAAATCTTTGTTGCGATTGCTACAGGCTATCGGATGGTGGAGCCATACGTGTACGAGTTCCGCACGTATGCCAAGGCACGATGGTTCGGCCGCGAATTGCTGGAGATATTTACGAAGGAATTCGGCGCCAATTCTCCAGAGTACTACGTGAGTTGTGAACAAGTTGATTTGCTTTTAGCTGTTCGTTTGGAGACTGAAGATGGTTTTTGTAGAAATTCGCCATTGCTTCGGGACGCATCTCAGTGAACCTCAAGATCGTACCGGCCGACACTATTATCAAGAACGGAGACTTGATCATTCATACTGTATGGATTGCATGTCGATGTGATACCAATGGGACTCCTAACGCGATGCTGTTGTTGTTTTGTTGATTTCCGGTAGGCTCATCGGCACGAGCCGCCCGTGTCTGGCGAGGACGTGTCAGTGGTGTACGAGGACGACGATCTGGTACGTCATTAATCCTTGTAAAAAAAATTGGTTAGTGTTTGACTGACGGTTAGAGGTATGTTGCATTAGATTGTCGTGTCGAAGCCTCCATCCATGCCCACGCATCCGTGCGGTGCATATCGACATAACTCGTTGCACACTATCTTGCAAGCGACCCGACCCGATCTTCCACAGCTGAACATCGTTCATCGGCTGGATCGACTTACATCTGGTACGCTCGTAAACTGCTTTTCAGCAATTCAAGCGTAGATCCTTATCACTAAACCCACTTGGCGTAGGCGTTGTACTCCTCGCAAAGAATGCGGCCAAAGCGAAGGCTTTATCATCAATCATCGGTAAGGTTGACACAAGCAAGTTATAGCTGTCCAGTTTTCTAACTTCATCTCCTTGAAATTAGCGGACCGCCAAGCTTCCAAAACGTACCTTGCGCGTGTGCGTGGGCAATTTCCGGATGGCCTCAATGCTGAAGCTCAAGACGAGCTGGTGAATTTGGCAAAAGAAAAGTGCCCGGCTAGTGTCATTACGTTTCCAGAAGAGGGAGCCATCCTTATCAGCTGCCCACTGCGCTGTCTGTCAGCCCGTGATGGTGTCTGGGAGTGTCACGAAGAGGGAAAACCTTCTGAGACTTTGGTGCGGCTTGTTCGCACAGACAAGAGCACCAGTCTTATGAAATGTAAGCCAGTCACAGGAAGAACGCATCAGATTCGTCTACACCTGCAGCTCATTGGTTTCCCCATTGCCAATGACCCGTGCTATGGAGGAGAGTTACATTTTGGTGAGAGCGCAGAACGTGCCCAAGAAATCGCGGCTGCCAAGCGCAGCAAAGCTGATCTTCCGCCCAAGGACCCCGTCGATTTTTCGACTCCTCGTAAAAAGAACGAAAGTGAAGAAGAATTCATGAAACGAACGTGCACGTGGTGCTATGTTGGCGAAGCTGAAGCTTTCAATGAAACGCAGCTGCATTGCTCGAAGATCTGGCTACATGCACTAGAGTACAAGGTAAGGCGCTCCCTCTCGAAATCTCCAATATCAGCTTCTAACTTCTGTGTATTGTTTTGCAGCTTGATGGCCAAATGTTCAAGGTGCCCGAACCAAGTTGGGCTGCTCCTTCAGCGGAGTACTAACCAGTAACTAGGTTGAGACGCGCTGTTTCTTTTCTTGGTTAGGTCCGAAAAGCGCTGTCGAGGAGTAACGGGTAGTCGATGGAGGAGTTGGTGGTTGGGAAAAATTTATCTGCGAGCAGGTACGAGTCGTTGTCAGATAATTGCGGGGCAACAGATAGAAGCGCATCCATGAATTCATCTTCGCGCAATCGGCCATTCTTCTCGACATCTCGTTCACGTAAAGCCTTACGTAGCTGGTATTTTCGAGTGCCAAAGACTCGTTGCAGTAAGCTAACAACTCGAGGGTCCGCTAGTGCTTGCGAGGGCTGCTCAATTTTGCGAGCAGATTGCGGAGGTGCGTAAACTGGTTCTGAACTGCTCGTCGCTCGTTCGGTTGAGCGTCCGCTTCCTGGTGGCAATGCAGCACCACCTTCATTGGAGACATCCAAGCTGAAATCAATGTCCTTCGGGTCAACTTGTTCCGGTGTTTGATCGGACGGCAGTTGAAAGATATGGTCGCACAGTCGGTGGATGTCGATTTTACCGTTGCTTGCTGTAAATCTGGATGTGAGTGCATCGACTTCTGGCTTTGACAGCGTCACGGCCCGATCATCCGTAACACGCAGCAGATGGGAGAGCGAGACATAGTCGCTATTCGATTCAGCGTAAGACAAGAGTTGTCTAAGCGATCGTATTCTAAGCAGCTTCCAGCTCATGCTGCGTTCTGCGTCTTTACGCTCCTCTTGCGAGGGTGGTTTACTCACAAGAGCAGAGAGATCATCGCAGAAGTCATCATACGCGAACAGTGGCTCCTCACTCAGGTTGTTGTCGTCAATCTTGAACTTCCTGAATAATGTTATCATCTGCTGTGCATTTAAACCCGACGCGAGTCCTGCTTGGTTCATCACAGTTTTTATCGCTCCAATGCTCACAAAATGCAATTTGTTGCTATCGAGTTGTCGCCATTCACGACGCAAGTTCACATGGCGAGGTCCGTTCATCCAGAGTTTACCCGTGAGGGATAACACTGCAGAGCTGTCTGAGAAACGGAAGACTTCAGGATAACTCTCACAGAAGCTCAGAGTCTGTGAATCAGCCTCCACTAGTTCCAGTCGTTGGTACGGTGAGAATTCAAAGGTAAGAACAGCACCCACGTACATATCTGATGCCTGGTAATGCAATGGAACTCCTTCATCTTTCGTCATCGTGTTTTGAATTAGCTTGAGGTCTTTGCGATAGCGAGCACGATCCAGAAATCGGCCGCCCAATACTCCCGAGTTTCGTAATCGTGGTTCAAATACAGCTAGCGTTTCGTCTTCAAGAAAGTAGGTGACTACAAATTCACGTTGCGCATTCATATCCCCGCGTGGGAGTCCTTGGAAACGAGCTCGAAATCTCAATTGCTTCCCATCGAGATCATCATATCGACATATCGGAGTCACTACACTGTGGTTTTGACCTCCAGGGATTGGAGCCACAAGTCTTCCTTGCATGGAACTATTGTTGTTGTTTACGGCATAACCACTCGTACCTCGGCCGTTTGAAGCAAGCGGAGTTTGAGGCTCTTGAGCAGCACGAAATGGCTGCCACTTAGCTGGCGTCTCCGGTGCTTCCGATACAGGTGGTTCAAACTTCTCCTGGGTTATGCCGTGAGTCTCCAAGTAATACTCACGCGTAAATGCATCACAGTCTTCGAGTAGCAATCGTCTTGAGAAAACGTTAATCCACTCTCCACAGCGTAAATCTCGATCCGTGATGAAGTAACTCGCACCGTCGTCGCCATGTTGCTGTTGGTTCCCAGTACCTGACTCTCTAGCTAACTTCCTCCGCGATAGCAAAACGCTGAAATGACCTCGACCACGTTCACGGTTGCGATCTCGGTCTTCTATAACCTCCACTGTGTCGTCACACAAATAGTAGTGTACGATAAAATATCGAGTCTCAGGATACAACGGGTGATCATCACGCCAGGACGCGTAGAACCTAAGCACCTTCTGGCTCAGGTCGTGGAATTTACGTGTGGTTTCGGCCTTGCTGGCGCCAATAGCTCTAGTGCGTTCGCATAGTTTGTTCTTGAGCTCATCAACTTCGTTCATCTTTGAGCTTGCTTCGTCTGGATACATGCGTGGGGTTTCCAACGTCTCACCAAGCGCTTCAGCGTAAAAATTTCGAGTGGCAGCGTCGCAGTCTACAATGTGGAACGTTCGTCCATACAAACGCAGTTCACCACCAATACGGAAATCCTCAGGAGAATAGAAGTCGTCCGAGATGTTTTCGCGAGGATAAGTGAGACTCTTGTTGCCGGACTTGCGAACGACAGTGCGTCGCATAAATTCACCTTGAGGCATCCCGCTGTTAGTGACTCGAGGCTCAGAGATGGAGATGGATCGATCACTGAGGTAGAAGCACATGACGACGCGCCTCACCCGATTCTCGGTTTGTCCATCCGCGAGTTCGACAGGGTCAATGAAGTAGGCGAAGAATCTCAACACTAGTCGATCGTGTGTGATCCACGCTGGCTGGGAGTAATCCACTCGATACTTGCTACTAGGAAGCTGGAGACGATTCACTTCAGGCTGTGGGGGTGCAGTGTAGGTGGCTTGTGTGGTAGTAGCCGGCCGGAATTCTTGAAACTTTACACCTGTAGCATCAGATACCACGGATTGAAACGAACTCGTCGGTGCTGGTGGCATCTTCTCGGTGCTGGTGGGTTTACCAATCGACATTCGCTCCAGGAGTTGTCCCCGACGAAAATGTGGCTTGCTTATTTGCTCATAGTACGTGGACCTCATACCCGGGATCAACGGCATAAAAGCCCGAGTAGTGCTATCTCCCATGGTCGTCGAAGAACAGGACTTAAGATGTTGAAAAGGTGTCGAAAGCGGCAAGAATTCAAAATGCCGATGACATTGCGAGCCGCTACAGTCGAAACGCACCGCAACCGTCAGAAATCCACAACGGACAACTGGAAGGATGTTAGATGCAAGAAGAGAGGAGATATGCGTTGGTGAATACTACTACTATAGTAGTTGGAGTATTGTGCAAGATGCGAAGACATGAATGGGATTGCAAATATATTGAGTCTTGGCGCACAGCCAGCGTTATCGAAGTGTACAACACGCTTTAGCGGCAGCAATAAGACCGTCCAAGAAAGAGAAAAAAAACCGCAACGAGAATAAGTGTACTACTACCGCTAGCGTCGGTGGGCGGGGCACTCTACTCCGCAGTCTTGGATTTCTTCTTGTGCTTCTTCTTCTTCTTCTTATCAGCGTCGACGGCGGGGGTGGTAGTCTCCTCCTCCTCAGCCTTTTTCTGCTTCTTGTTCTTCTTATCCTTCTTGGACTTCTTAACGGGGGTCTCCTCCTTGATCTCCTCCTTAACCTCCTCCATGTCAACATCCTCATCCTCCGCCGGACGCTTCTTCGACTTCTTGTCCTTCTTCGACTTCTTTTCAGTCTTCACAGCAGCCTTCTTCAGCTCCTCAGACACCTCCTGCATCACATCAGCGTTCTTACGAGGAGCAGCACCGCTCTCGTAGAAAGCCAGACGCTCCTCAACCTGTTCGCGCATCTTGTCACCGTACTTGGTAGTGGGCTCGTCAATGAACGAGTCAATACGAGAGGCAATAGCACACTTGTTGGCCAGGTAACGCGAGATGCGGCCCTTGTTCTTAGCAGCAGCACGTCCAATGAACGTCGAGTGGAACAGCAGACCGTACTTGGGGGTGTTGCCACGGGTCTTCAGAGCACGGAACAGAGCCTTCTCAGCTCCCAGAATCTGCACAGTCGAGGCCGGGCACTTGGCCAGATTGGTCAACGAGCCAGCGTGCGAGATGAGACGAGCACCCACCGACTCACCAATGAGCGAGGCAAGGTTGGGAGCCACCGTCGACATCTTGGACACCAGGTACTCGTGCAATTGACGACGGTACTCAGCGAGCTTAACCAGACGAGTAGTGAAGTTGTCGACGTTGATCATGTCAATCTCCGACATGTCCATGCCCATGGACGAACGAGCAGCGTGCAGGATCTGCTGGGCCTTGTCCTCGTCCAGCACGATCTTGGCCAGCTCCTCGAGTGAGTCCTCGCTGAGCGAGCTGCGGTTTTTAATGAACGAGGCGCAACGAGCGTACACGTAGTTGTCGTTGACGATCTTGACCAGTTCCGGGAAGTGCCACGAGTACCACTCACGCACGCGCATAGCGAACGTGTTGATATCCTTGTCCATCTGGTCGAGCAGAGCGATGGCCTGAATGATCATGTTGTCGGCACGGTTCACGTTGAATTTCACCTTGGCACGCGAGTACGAGTGACCGAGACCGAGCTGAGCCTTGGCGAGGTTGCCCTGAGCCAGTTCCTTTACGAAAGTGGCGAAGTGCATGCGCACACCACGCACAATCTCGAGCGTCGTCTCGCTTGTGTTGCACGGGGCGTTGAGCTCGTCCGAAATGGCCTGAGCAAGACCCTTGTCCTGCACGCCGAGGGCGAACTTGGCCTTCTTACCGGACTTGACCTTGGGCAGGTTCATCTCCAGGAAGTTCTTGAGGTCCTCGCTCAGTAGACCTTCCGAGACGTTGTTGATGTTCTCAAGAGCGTTCTCAGCCGACGTAAAAGGTTGGAAGGCCTTCAGCTTAACGATGCGTCCGAAGGAGGACACGTCCGCCACTGAGGCCTGCACCTCGGCCAGGAGGCCGCCGATCTCCTCGTTCTCCACTACCTCAAAGATTGCATAGCCCGAAGCCGACTCGAAGAGCACAAAGTTGTTGGCACCCTGAGGTTTTGATATAAACAAAGAAAATTAGTGCAAACTGATCGTGGAAATCTCAACTATTGAATCGTGCAAGTTGCATGAGCAACGGACGTCAGCGGCTCGAGTTACGGTTGCGCATGAATTACGTGTCCTAACGCACCATTGTTTGCCTTGAGTGCTGTGTTTTCCAACTGGGTGTTGGTGGCGGGGCACGCTCAGCTCCAATGGTTGCTGGCCAGCCAGGTCGATCTTGGCGCTCATTGGCTGGTAAAAATAAAAAGTAATCATGGTTATTGGTAGAAACTTTGTTAATTCAACTGTATTTTCATCCAATGTGTACCATAGTAGGGTTGGGTGTGGATCCTAGTACGACGTTTCATTAAAATATTACAGACTGAAGTTGCCTTTTTGAGACGGAGCATTGCTAGGCGTGATGGAGAATATGTGAGGTCACCGCAACGCCACGCGCACAGTGGCTTCTGGTCGACGTCCATCGATGAAGTCGAGTCTTCTCTCTCTCATGCTGCCGGTGTTTTTACTGCCAAGAGCGAGCGGTAGTGACGATGGTTTCGATGTTGGCTCCGTTGCATTGCTCATACTTCGATTGTCCTCGTGAACACCAACACCAGAACGAACATCTTCACTCGTGCTTGATGAGAAACACCCTCCGTTGGCTATTCGCCACCACGATGCTTGTCGCCACGGCGATCGTTTCGACTGCACAGAATGTGCCTTTGCCGGCAAATGTCACTGATGCCATTGAAGCCTCAGAGCAAATGGCGTTTGCAGCTTGCGGTCCGCGTATTCGGAAGCCATGGGATCTGCTGCTTCCCGCCGAAAAGGAGCTTTATTTGCGCGCGATCGCGATGTCTATGGACGACGGCTACTATATCAAATTTGTGGAGATCCACACGGAGCAGATGACGACGGTCGAAGCGCACAACACTTGCATGTTCGTCTATTGGCACCGCTTGTTGCTGTTGGGCTTCGAGAATATGCTTCGGAGTTATGGTGGCGAGTTCTCCTGTATCACTGTACCATACTGGAACTACGTTGACGACAACCAGCGCTATTTGCTGGGAGGATGCCGCAGCATGGAAGAGTGTTCACTGCTCTTACGTGACTTTGGTGGGTCATTGAACGGATTTGGTCGTTCCGTCACGATAAATGGATCTCCTATCAGCGGAACCTGCGTGGTTACGCCGCCTCTTGATCACTTTTGCGAAGCTACTCACCTCCTTGGAGGAAATTGTGCGCGTTGTGTCCCTCGCGGAGACTGGTTAAGCTCCCCATTCCCACCAACAACGTCTATGAGCTCGCTAGCACGCCAACTCTTCGCGACTCCAACTATCTCTGGTGTTGTGGCCAACCTGGAACTCGGCATTCACAGTAAGATTACCATAGACACCTGCTCGATTTTTTTTATGACTTGACTGACATCGTTTGTGTTCCGTGTTATTCAGACACCGTTCACAGCGCTCTCGGCGGAGCTATGGGCGTCTTAGAAGCGCCTGCAGATCCAATCTTCTTTTCCCACCATGCCACAATCGACCTGCTGCACTCCATCTATTACAAGTGTGTCGTGGGCAACACCGTACCGATTCCGCTGGAGCAGAAGTTGTCCGATCCTCGAATATACACGGAATGTCCACGTCGCCGTCCGCTTCCAGTGAACGCAATCGATCGGAACGTCCTGTACCCGCAGTCGAACGTTTTGCTTCGCACTGGTGAAGAAGGAATAAACCCGACGTCCGTCTTCTCGCAGTTCAGCATACTTGATCCGTTCTTCGCAGACCTCCCTTCGTCGTACCTGAGTTTCTCGGACATTCGCGATCTTGGTGTCTACAGCTACAACTACGAGATGACCGGATTGTTGGCCGAAATGTTCACGGCGTGCCCTGGCGCCGGCTTCGGTGCCGATGTGCCATTCCGTCATCTTGAAAGCGCTAACAACACGGAAACAAAGCATAAGTTCGTGGAAGCAGTCATCGTCCCCAGCAACAAGACGGCGGACAATTGGTTCAGTGAGGCGTTGGCTGCCGCGTTGAACAGCTCCTCGGCTGAGTCCGTGATGGAAGATGCCTCAGTAGATGCACTCGATGCCATTGAAGACGTGGAGAAGATGACCTGTGTATTTTACGATGAGTGTCGTGGCGGAGTGCACGACTTTAGCGATGATTTCCGCCAGAGCTTCCATGCGAATGGTTCGTCTCCGTGCACCACCATCCTCGCCAACATTAAAAGCGGCAGCGACCAAATCCGAACGCCCAATTGGCGCTCAATCTTTCTCCGTCACATGAAGTGCGACAAAGCGTGAGGGCTGTAAAGCGAACGGGAGCTTGTGGTGTTTGTAGTTGTACTCTGCTGTAGCAAGAAAAGAAGAATGGATGTAAAACGAGAGCTGATTTTCACTCACACTTGTTGAATTGATTCGATGTTGACACTTCTTAAAGCTCTTGGAGAACTTCTTCAATGAAACTAACAAAACTCGAGTCAATCTGCTCTTCTTCTTCTTCGCTACGCTCATGGATAGCTAACCGCTTAACGGTCCCTTCCAAGGCGCCAGTGTCCACACCGATCGACATTTCTACACAAAACACGCACTGAAGCTCGGTCTGTAAAACGTGAAGTATGAGCTAGTGTCAGACCAAGTTTAATGTGATATCCGTAACAAGAGCGTACCATTTCTGCGAAGAAAAAGAACTTAACCAGCTTGTCCATGCTTCCGCTCGCCAAACAATTCATGCAGTTGCTGCGAAAGTGCTCAATAACTTCATCCACCTCAGGCATTTCGTTCAACGAGTACGACAATGATGCACTAGCAAAAACACAAAAACGACATTAGAAACTGAAGCATCACACGGTTCTAGTTAGCGAACACTTACATTTCCGTCGCCGTCGCCCAAACCTGTTCGAATTTTCCAGCATCAATTGCAGGATTTTCGGTCAGATAGTCACGTGCCGACATTGTGTCTTCATCAGCATCATCGAAATCTTCCTCGTCGTCTTGAGATGTTACGTGTGACGCGGTCCGAGAAGCTGAGTGGGATGCCGTGTAGGAGGTTGACTGAGGCTTAACTGGCTCAGGTTCTCTTCCGTTTTGGGGCTGCTGTTGCGCAGGATCATGCTGGTGGGCATGGTGATGTGGCTGGGGTCCCCGTGCAGCACGTACTTGGGCCTGCTCAGCAAACTGTTGGAGTGCGTACTTGAGGATCTCCATGAAAATGACGTGGCCGTTTCTGTAGAGTATTGAGTTGACAATCCACTTCAGCGTCACGGACATGTCGGTTAATCCTGGCATAACTGTGACATCCACCAAGAACAGAGTTCCTTCGGACTTCTACACGCAAGAGGAATTAGAATGGGGACACAATCCACCGATACGAAAAAGCTCGTACCTGCTCAGCGATGAATAGCCACTGCTGCTGTCCAGCAACCTTCTTGCTAGACGCACACATCAACCGGTATGACTGCAGGAACACCTGGAGATCGCGCGGGTCCAACTCGTGAGCATCTACGGAGCCGAGATCCACTGACCATTCCTCTCTGCAGACACAAAAGAGTAGTTAGAATCTGCAATCATCGCACCTCCTAGTTGGTGCAACGTACGATTCGTCGTTCGCTGACTCCCACATATCCTCGAAGTCACTGCCATGCACCGATGGATGCTCCACCAAAAAGTCCTCAGCAGTAACAGCAGACACCTTCAGAACGGACCCAGTGACGGACTGGCCGGAAGGTCGATCCGTGGAGCTTGTACGAGAGGAAGAATCATCCACGGGATCGGCGCCGCCAATAAATCCGAATGCAGATCCATTGGGTTTCGCCGCTTCTGGTGCTGGTTGTCCAATAAAGTTGAAGCCTGATCCCTTGGTACTCTTCATAGGAGGCTGCTTCGCGCCATTGCCTATCACCAGGCCGACGGGAGGCGCATAGCCATTATCTGTCGATCTTGAATCGGATTCTCCATCGTGGTCATCATATTCATTACTGGATGGATAATGAGACGTCTGGTAACGTGGATCATTGTGGCCGATCGTCTCCCTGTGATTCATACCCGATTCGCTAATTGTTCCAACCGATTCAGTTCGGCCAGGGAATGGCACTCCATGGCCTGCTAGGAAGAGTTTCTTCCCTTCATCACTGATAGATCGTTCTCGGCCTTCTCTGTTGTTAGCAGTAGGCGGGCAGGCAGAACCAACGTCCTCTTCGGAAGTGTCTGGATCAGCAAACTGCGGGTTATCTGGATCCAGTCGGACAGCAGCAATTGCTTGTAAGAGCTTCCTAGCATCGGCTCGATATATGTTGTCGTTACGCTGCTGAGAAATATGAGTAAACACATCCAGGTTCTCTTCAAATTCCTCCACACACAAGTTCTGCTTCAATAATGCCATGGTAGCGACAAATGCATTGCGGTGAACCTTATAGAGCATCCGGTAATTGTTAGCAAATCCGTTAATAAGATACTTGAGTGCAACCAAACGTACATGAGTTGCGTAGAACTCGTATTTGGCTTGAAGCCTCTCCACCAGTGTATCTGCAACCCCCTATAAGTGGTGCACAAAACCACAATAGCTTAAAATCATTACCGAATTCCTGTATGGACCAAAGTATCCAGCTCCTACCTGTCTGTCTTCGTCCCCAAGCTCCAGTACGCCCGTAATAAACGTCACTATCTTCTCATCCTTCAGAGTGCCATAACAAACCGCATTCACCAGTTTGGTCACCGCAGATGAAGCTTTTGGTTTACTTGGGCTTCTTTTGGGGACCACAGCGCTGATACTGACGTGTGGGACACGTAGTTTGCGTCCCCAAGACTTTTTCACAGGTCTGCTGCTACCTTTCTTGCTGGCGCCCTTCAGGATGTAAACGCGTACACTTTGTCCGAATCTGATGACATCTCCCTCTGGTTGACAGCACCAAAGCTTCAGCATCATGATATTACAGTCATTACTTTGGATTGGCGCCTACCGTGCAGAAGATAGGGATCGTGTGGAGGGATCTTCTTGCGACCCACGTACGTCCCGTGTCGAGACATAAGGTCCACCATCTACACCATACAGTAGCATAACTATCTCAGTATCATCGCTGTTATAAGGGTTGCTACAGTCAGCATAGCTATACTCACGTAAATACCGCCCTCGTTATCGTGGATGACCGCTGCGTGCTTTCTTGAGACCGAGGGGTTACCGAGCACGTGGTCGCAACTTTCCTGATCACGACCGAAGAGATTCACGCGCTGTGTGGCCACCATGTACGTGGCACAGTGGCGACTGTCGCGAAAGGCCTCTAGTCTCGCATGGGAGTTGGACTCAACAGGCATACACGCCCTGGAAACAATATTAGGTTAACGGCGGTGATTAAACGGAGTTGCAGTGACTAAAACGCACCAGTCGGGCGGGTGGAAAGCAGCGGTGCTGGTGCACAGGAAAGCTGCGCGCCCGGGGGTGTCCATGGCGCTCCTTGCTCACCGAGACTGCGGCACTGACTATGCCGTGAGGCTGGATAATAATGGGAGAAGATAGGGACTTTTCATTGGTAAGAAATTCCCAAAAGAGCAATATGATTGGATGAAAAAAGAAGGTACTCAAAACGGCTGTCGGACGTAGCGGTGTATGTCACTTCAAGTGCGAAGACATTCATTGACTCGATCTGTATGTAGGATCCCTTCGTACATGCGACCACACCCAGCCACTAAGCTTAGGCCGACTCGAGCTCCATCTCGGCCGGGGCTGCTGCGCCAGCGTAGGGACCTCGGCGCAGACTCGCTTGCAGCTTTTCCCGTAAAGATGCGTCTGCAACACGACAACAACAATATCACGAAAATGCAATGCATGAGACGACGCGAAAAGCTAAAGTCCACCACTGCAAAGCCTGAGGCAAGCAGCACACGTACCCAACAGCGGCTGGAATGGCGAGCCTAGTACAGCGTCCAGTACTGCGAACTTCCACTCGCGCGTCTCCTTAGTCGGCTCGGTGGTACGGTCCATTAAGAACTCGAAGAAGCCACCGTACGAGAGCAAAGCTCGCATACCCCATGGATTGTTCTGTGCTGCCACGGAACGTAGAACGTGGAAGACGGATGTCCGTAGCTCTTCGAATGGCTGCTTCAACGCGTTCATGAACAGAACCATCGTAGACTGCTGACCGCATTCCGAGCCTAGACTATTGAACAACCGCTCGCACAAGTTCCAGACCCCCGCATTCTCTTCGGGCATTTGTTCAGGCTGCTTCGAGAGCCGTGTATGTGCACCGATCACGCGCGCCAGTGAGTGGTAACAATTGGCTTTGACCGGCATCTTGGCACTGCTACCGAGCTGTAGCCACATTTGGCAAATACTTCGGTGCTGAAGCAAAAGTTGGAGTTCTGTAGAACAACAGTACCGTTCAGTCGAAGAGACCCAATGAGTGAGCCCAAGACCATGCTTACCTTTATCGGAAGAGGATGCAAATGCTGCCAAAGCGTCCATCGCTGCAATCTGCTGTAATGAATCCGAACTCTGCATTTTACTCTCCACAGTCTCCAGAAAAGCCTTCGAGAGTGTGGCATCGCTCCAACTCCACGACTCGATATTCAAACTGGCCGCTGTAGCCGACACTTCGCCCACGAGTCGGACTGCATTGCCTCCGACAAATGGATCTAACAACAGTTTGCGTTAGCTCGTTGAGTAAACTATCCACAACCAAGTTATCAAATACCTTCTGTCATCGCAAGCAAAGTCTTTAACGTTCCTGCAGGTGCACCAAAGCTTATGAGCTCCAAGCAGTGTCGTATTATGTTTGAGCAAGATCAAGCAGACATACCGGACTGGAAAATATACTGAACACCGATCTTAGTCTGGCAAACAGCCGGCACCAAGTCGACAACATTCATCAAGAACAGCGGGTCGTCCGACTTTAGGCAGTTCAAAACCTGTCCATGGTCACGAGATCAGCTTGTTAATTCATTGAATCTGAAAGTTCCTTCTAGAAACGTACCAAGTCAATAGCACCTGAAGAGGTGCCATATTCCATGTGCTCATCTTTCTGTGCGCAGATCTTCACAATTGTCTCCAAATACCGCATGAATTCAATTGAGTTCTCTGTAATTTCACTGAATAAAATCAACTTTCAGCAACTAGGCAGCAAAAAAATAAAACATTTGACAAACCTGCTTTGCGCTTTAGCCTCCAGCGAGTCCAGCACCGCTTGATATATCCCACTGTCAGAGGTGTTTGAGAACTATAGCAATCAACCCAATTATTAGCAACACAAATAATACGAATAAATACACGAAAAAGACCCCACCATCTCCAACACTGTCGAGGCCTTGGAAGCCACCTCGATGTCTTCATCCGCAATTATAGCGCACACCTGCTCCAGAACCAGTGGGTCTGCCTGAACCATTGCAATAGTGTAAAATGACTCAGCATCGTCCGGAATTATCGTTAAAAATGACCATGCTTTCTTTCTGTACGTACCACGACTCTGACCTGGTCCAGCGACGGCTTCCTGCCTAAGTGTGCAATGAACTGATTCACCACAAGTGTTCTCGCCTCCTTCTCGACGTGTGCTAGTCCAGCCAGTACAAACGGCACAATCTGTCGGTGCAAGTCAGCACGAACGATAAGAGACCCAGTTATTGCAGGATAGCGATCCAATGACTTACGTCCGGTTGGAAGAAAAGGCTCGTGCCGTCGCCCTCGGTGCCCAATACGCGGTTAATGCAGTCACACGTTTGCTTCACCTGTATGCAGCATATCGTACAGGGTTAGGAGGGTAAGAAGCACTACTCGAAACAAGATAGGACGCACCTGCTTGGCGGATCCACGGTTGCTAGCGTCCTGGAGACAAGCAAACAGCATCGCTATCGGAATCTTCTCCAGGAAGTCGTGCACCAGTGCATTCTCCTGGTCGTTCGCATACAGATGCCCCGAAGTAGCGATGCCCGTCTCCTGGAAACGCGCCACTTCTAGCCACGCCGTGTTCAGATCCATTCTGCTTCTAAAACAAAAAAATGTATGACCCGAAGTCATATCGTAATCGTACCATTACATGTAACTGAGTTTGATTTTGTATTCATACTAGTAACTTACATTAGAATAAAAATAGCATAATACTTTGCTAATGTAAAGTATCGTAGTATTTTTTATATTACAGTTTAAGCACAGAAAGCATCCAAGAAATACACTTTATTTAAAAAAAAATATTTACACTGTAAAGTATAATATTACCTTGAATAAAAATAAACTAAAAACGTGCTTTTTCGTTTGAGCCTAATGAAACTCTGCCGAAACACGCTCTCTTGTCCTCTCTTGTCCCCAACTTGGACGCTCTCTCGTCTAAGTTCAGACAAGATTTGGAAATAAAGAACTTTGACAGAATTTATTCGTCGTAATTTAAATTTTGTATTACGACCAATAAATTCTGTCAAAGTTCTTTGTTTCCAGATCCTGTCTGATCAGCTTAAGCTTAAAGCTAAGGGCTTGGGCCCTTAGCAGCAAAATTCTGATATTTATATGTTTTTTGTTTGTGTTTTAATCATTTTTGTGAAAAATGCCGGTGTGGTACACGAAATAAATAAACTTTTGCTTTGAAATTTGAAGGGGACGTATTGCCAAAAACTTTCATGGGACACCATTGCGTTCGCGAATGTGGCTCAAATTTTTTTTTCCCGGTTACCCGATTGTTTCCTCATTTGTAGTTACATGAAAGGATGATGTAGATCCACTTAGCCCGAAGTGGATTTTGTCGGTGCGCTAATGAAGGCGCTAGGTTGTCCGGAGCTGGTGGCGCACGCAGTCGGCCATGCATTGATACAAAAGGACCACATGCTCGGTGACGAGAGCGATGGCCGGAAGCTTGCTGTTGTCGAGATTATTGATGAGCACGAGGGGACAACGGATCCCAATTTCATCGAGACTGATAGTTATGAGGAGTCGATGGTTGCCATACCTGAGAACCGGTCGAACAACAAGCACCTCCGAGAAGATTACGGCTTTGTTGCCGTAGTGAGCGACGATGAACCATCCCCGGAGTCGCCGCAGTCGTCACCCAAGCTACCGAACAGACTGGATCTGGCCTATATCCTAGCCGAGTGAAATACCCTTTTTAAACTTGCTTTTTATTAATACTCCTACGATATATTTTCACGCCATCATGGTAGCTTAGTAGTTTTCGACAAACAAATGAAACACTCATGGTAAGGGGGACTTGACGTGTGAGTGGAGCACGATGCTTGCCAGTTCGGGATGATCTTAGTGATTGTTTCGTCATGGGAAAGACGTTGAAGTCAAATGAGATTTATCGTTGCTGCAATGTAACTCAGTCAGCCTGACTCAGGGATGCCTGAGTCAGACTTCAATACTCGGACGATATTAAGGTTGACAGACGAACATGCTCTTGTGTTTGTTGCTATAGAGCGCCTTAGCTTGCATTCGTGTGTTAGCGTTGTCGAGTTGCTGCCAGCAATTCTGCCGAATAAAAGTGTTTGGAACGCCTACTGGCTTGGGCGAATACCTTAACGGCCTCGACTCACAAATATTTTATTACCACAGTGTTGCCGAGAGTCTGTGCTGTCAGTTGTCTACAGAGTGAGAAGTGATCATCACCGACAGTAAATCTCCGCGTGAATAGTGATGGAATCCACTGGTTCATTACGAAGGCGCTTGCGGCGACAATTTCGGACTTCATTTCTAACCTGTTTAGAATCATTGCTATATCTAATTAGTCTGGAATAGTGATGGTTTTGGATTGGGTGCCTTCCAAAACTGTCCTGAAACGGTTTTATCAGTTTAATCGGTAATTTATTTTGAATTACAAAACGGTTTAATGCGTATCAAACCGGTTGCTGGAACGCAACCTTCGGGTATAGTGAAGTTCAGTCATATGTTTAATCACGTTGCTACTATAAAGTCGGATTAGAATTGTTTGATGAGACCAAAAAGTGGTCTCACCAAACAATTCACCGTGATTAAACTTTAATGCGCGACTTTTTATGTCGGTTTTGGAAGGCACCCAATGGGTGAATAAAGACTGTCTAAAACTACCTGAAATGTTTTAAGCAGTTCAGAAATGTCTAAAGCGCCCAAAAGAAGACAAGCCTTGAACTTCAAGGAGGCCCGCGATCCTCCTGCGCAGACTTCATTGTCATTGAGAACACTGCGAGCACCATGAACCAAAGCCGTACGCCTACATGCACGCCGTTGACATCACCACAACCAGGCCATGGCGAGCCAAACGTGCGTGAACGTATCCTTCGATCGCCACCTGGCCCACCGCTACGTCGGTCTCCTCGATACAGCCCATATCATGCTGGTGTTCTGTTATCTAGTCCATCTGAACTGCCTGCACAGACACCAGTAGCCACAAGGCGGATGGTGTTCTCCACAAACACACCATCGGATACGCACGTCCGGGTTCGTCGATCCCCAGTGCTGCCCCGAAGATAGGTGATCATCGTCTCTAAAAACCGGCCGCCCATGCAACGAGATCTGGCAACACTATTTCATCAAGCGCGAAGGTGACAAGAAACACGGACGATGCAAATACTGCGGCACGTTAAAAACGAACGGAACCTAGCGGGAAATTTACTAAAGCACTTGGTAAAGCGGAATCAGTGTTCAAGCGTCCCAAGAGAGGTGCAAGTCTCACTAAGGCCTCTCCTCCAGCCCCTGAACTAGAACCCGAACCCGAACAAGTTACTGATACCGTCCACAGCGATTCAACTCAAGCTGCATTTAAAATGGCGCAGGCGAAACTGGTTTTTGTGTACGCTACCATTCGTGCTCGTTGGGGCGCAAGTATTTCGCGAATTATTGCTTTGGTGACTCCGTCGATGACGCTACCCTCACGACACACGCTAAGCGAGGCGTTGCTAAAGCGAGTGACCAATGAGATTCGTACGAGTGTCGTCAAGCTTATTAATCAGCAGACCTACGTGTCACTCACGTCACCGATGGCTGGAGCGACACCAACAGCTCCAGCATCATCAACTTCATGGTGGTGCACCCGGAATGCCGTCGGTATTCTGGTCGTCGTGGTCGACGCAGACAGAGCAGCATACGGCAGCTTATCTAGCCGGAGAAATCGAGAAGGTCATCTCCGAGATCGAAAGAAAGACAACAGCACAAGTGATTGCTGTAATCACTGATAATGCGAAGACTATGAGGAGCGCATCGGGCCGTATTGAAGTTCGAAGACCAAATGTAGTCAGCGGCGGATGATCTGCACATGTCCTCAAACCTCCTGATGCACGACGTGTGCCGGTTACCTGCAATTCGATCAATCCAGACAAGAGCTGTTGCCATCGCGCGTTTTGTAAAAGACCACCTAGCACTGCTAGATGAGTTTAAACGGCTGCAACAGGGTATGCGGGACATTGGTTTTAGGGCTAAAAATTTTGTGCTGCCTGTGCCATCGAGATGGTATTCAGTGTACGCCTGCATACAAACTGTTCTGAACAGCCAGGACATTCTTGAGAAGCTATTTTTGAGTGCAGATTACGAGCAATTCCGTGATCACTATCGTGGGACAGCGACAAGTCGAAAAACACTTCGCTATATTACTGAGCTGGTGCGCGACAATGGATTTTGGAGCAACTTGAGAACGATAGTGCGACTCTTAGAACCTATCATAAGAGCTTTATGTGCGTTAGAAGCTGATAATGTCTTCGTATCGGCGGTCTATCGGTGATTCAGATGGCTTCGGTATCACCCTGCGTATGGAATCACCTCACCTGACAAGGAAGCCCGGCGTTGCGAGCTGGTGGAGCCACACGACAGCGCTGAAGAGCAAGAAACTGGTGGACAAGCTCAAGGGGGAATTTAACTACTTAGCAGCACAGCGGAGCAAGTAACCTCCGTCATAGCAACCATCGATGAACCTCCAGCAGCTGACGAAACTCCGATCTCCGTAGGGAACTATGAAAAAGTGACAGCACTTCAACTTAACGAGCTGCAAGCCTGTTTCTGCAAACAGATAAAGCAGCGCTGGTCCTACGTCCACACAAACGCGATGGGCATCGCGTTTATGCTTGATCCAGATCTTGATGAATTTGTTGGCGCTGACGATGATACAGTAGACGACCAACTCTGTAAAATGGCGAAGCGTTGCAGTATCCTCACTCCAACCACTGGTATGCCCAAGTTGACAGCAGAGATGCTTGCATTTAAAGTGAAAAGCGGCGTGGAGGCGAAGAGCAGAGGGATAAGTATTCGGAATCAAGCCCTCGTGATTACTGGAGTGCCAAGGGTAACAAGAAATATCCGCTGCTGGAAAAGATTGCCGAATTTGTATTCGCAATCCACACTTCATCAGCCGCGAGCGAGAGATCGTGGAGCATCTTCGACCACATTCACTCCAAGCGAAGGAATAGACTGTCAGTTGCTAAGGTTGAGATGTTGTCATAAACCACGGTACAATTCAGTGCGATACAGTCGACCTTGCGCGTCATCAGTCACGTCCAGAAAGCATTGAAATTGACACTGAATCAACTTGAATTAACGCACGTCTTCTTCTATAACTAGTTGTTTAGCGCTTCCCAAAGAGTATAGATCCTGTAGCTGCCTTCTTCACCAAACCACAGCAACCGCCCCGCCTTCACGTCTGTGCCAAGTTGATCACCGAGTCGATAATTAGACATTTCGCAGTGGTTCGAATGGTAGAACTTACAATTGTCGATTTGGTGTGTACGATGACAAATGAAGTACGGCTGGTGCATTCATCTCGTGACTGGTGACGGCACAGTCCAGCTACATGCAGCAAAAGCGCAGTAATTCGCCAGTTTTATCATTTTTCTTTCAAAACTCCACAAAGATATTAAAAGCAATTTGAAGACCAGTTCGCAATTGCTGGTGTTTTCCAGTTTCAAGCTTTTTTTGCGACTTCTTAGTGAAGGTTAACCCCGAATAGAGTAGTCGGTGCTTACTACAAGCATTACTTGTTTCATTTTCAGCCATATGTCCAGCAAGAGCAGCACGAACAAGGAGAATTGCACTATAATGACGTCGAGACGTCTTTGAAGCACCTGACACGTATATCTAACTACAGGCTCCTCCACGTCCCACCGCAGACGATCTAAGCCACCACAAGTTCCAACGGTCACACTAAGTAGCAACGATTACGGGTTGACAACGCCACAATATTTAATTTTTGCGATAAACAGCATTTAAGTCTTAACCCGCCCATAAAGGCCCACATCACAAGCGCGTGCACAAAACTAGGCAACTTCTGCAGTTTAGAGGCCAGAATTATCGTGACAGCTCTCCATCTCCTCCCAAAAGCCACTCCAACGAAAACAGGACAGCTAACACGTTCGAGCAGCTCGCCAGACACGGTAACGGGGTCTCCAGCACTTGGCATTATCTTGACGCTGAATGTTGCAACTGCGGTCACAGACTTTGCCGATCGCAACGTCCTTACAAGCCTAACTCATGTATTATCGAGAGCCGTACCCCACGAACGTAGTGTAATTATCTTCGACAGTAAGGTTGGATATCAGCTCTAATATTGGTAGCCCAAACGTCTTGCGAGTCACCACGATTGCAGATACAAGGTTCACCAGGCTCACCACTGCTTGCCACTTCACGGGTAGAAGCACGTTGCATGATATAATGAGAAAGTGCAGACGTGTATGCCTCTGTCGACCATGTTACGCCGGTGTTGACTCCAGCGGTCACGGTACCAGAGCCGACGATGCCCATTGTAGCCGCTGGCGCGGTAGCCCAAAACGTCCAAACGTGTCTAAAAGTCTGTGGTCCCACCCTGGACCCTCCGCTTAGAACAGTCTATTTCGGACGAATTTTGGACGTTTTCTCAAAGTGTTTTGAACTATTCTGAACTAGTCCAAAACCATACCTAGTCTGGAAACTACGGTACTCAAGCCAATGCTGATGCTCTTTCGCGACACGGCGTTTTACTTCTAACGGCGGTTCTGTGTGGCCGCTATAAAATGTACCTATTGTAGTTGAAAGAAGGTGGATACACTAAGTCTGCACACAGTGTACTTTAATCGGGGCACACAGCACATAAAACACTGCCTCCTGTTAGACCTTAACGGCAATTCTGTGTGGTCGATGAGTACATGCTGTGTGACAGTTCTGCGTGGCCGCTACAAAGTATATCCTTGTGGTTCGAGGGAGATGGACATGGATACATTTATTGTACACACAGTATGGTGTTCTAAGATCAAAGCACACACAATAAGAAATATCGCATCCTGTTCACGCAATAAGAATTACTGCCCCTGTTGGGGCTAACGGCAGTGCTGTGCGATCGTTGGGGACGTGTTGTGTTCAATGGGACATGCATTCATGTACCTAAAAAGAAGGGAGGTACGTTAAGTGTGCTTAACTTTACTGAGCTGCCGCTAATGTTTGTTAGACACACAGTTGTCACTTTTGTTTGCTAAGTATGCATACACTGTGCTGATGAGCTGCTAAGGATTCCTAGACACTTCCGAACTCGCGCGTGAAGAGTGTCAGGTTGCTGTTCCTGTAACGGAATGTTAATTCCTGTAGCAGGGGAATGCCCGCTGTTGCAAAAATTCCCAAGCGAACTGTGTTGGTCCACTCCCACTCGTAGAGAGCGCAGTTTGGGGTACACGAATGGTTAATAAAACGACTCTCATTGCCGCGTTCGGCGGCATCGATGAACACACCCGACGCTTCATCCCAGAGCGGCTTGTCTTCAGCCCCACGAGATAACGGTGATCGGTGCGTTTTACGGCGTCGTCTTCTAGCAGCATTTCGCCGACGTATTCAACGATGAATGCCCCGTTTCGGATCATCGTGCTACATACTACTCCGAGGCCGACCCGCGTGGTGATTAGGTCGAGTTTAAAACGGGAATGAAACCGGTTGTCGCAATGTTCTCCGACGGATCAGTTTGTGCTATCACAGACGAGATTCATTCCAGCATTGCTGCAGCCGCTTGTTGAACGTGTGCCGTCGTCAGCGACACAGCGAAGGCCGTCGCAATCGCATTCGTAGCGATAACACGATGCCTTTTTCGTGACTGGAAATGGCTGTTTGACTGAGAAGACGTTGTGTGCTAGATAGTAGATCTCGCTTGGTCATGGAAGGCGCTCAATGAACTCGTGGTTTCCACCTACATTAGCCAAGCTGCTGGCAAGTGTTGCGGTCGCCCCAGATGCGGATGAAAACAGATTTGGTTGGACTTCGTGGTGCTGAGCTTGGAAGTGACTTGCCTCAATGCGACGAAGCCAAGTGCGCTGGGAAACGGGTGCGCGAGCAGCTCCAGTTAGACGCAATGTTGGCGGCGCCGCGACGGCGGTGTGGATTCGTAGCGATTCAGAGCTGGTATGCGTTGATGTGGCCATGTAAAAGTCTTAGATACAGAGTCCTGAGGTTTGATTTTGGTTTCGTATTAGCAAGTGGGTTAATGTTACGTCTGAAAGTTGAGGGAAGCTCAAAAACTTGTTACTTGGTTACGGTGACTGTGTGAGTGGAAGGGAGGGGGAGAACCTACAATTTCGGTGGAGATTGTTGAAAACTTAAACTTTTAATGATGGCGTTGTAATTTCCGATACAAAACAGAAGTGGCGTTTCCCGGGTGTTCATCTGTGACTTTGATAGATCGATACGCTAGGAAGTTGATTGAGCGCAGTTGCCAATTTTGCGAAATGCCGACAACGCTAGAGCTATTACAAGCTGGGAAAGAGGCACAGGACGAAGAAGAAGCAAGATCTCCTATTTGTAGTGTGGAGTCTGCGCGGTTGCGGACAATTCACCGGTACCTACGGAGAACGTCACACTGGACATGTGCATTCTTCGCATTGATGGGTTCGATAAACTCTATCGGCTGGATTTGATCGACCGCGACCTGGAGCCACAGTTTGACGCACTGGTGGAGACATTCGAAAAGCTTGACGTGGCCCGTCGTACCAAGTTCGTTTTCCAGCTGACAATTTGGAAGAACCACAAGTCTGAGTTGAACCTGCTCGAGTATCACCGTGGTCTCAGCTACCGGTTCGAAAAGGTCCATTACTGTATTGGCTTCTGTGCGGAAATTCCATCGGAAGTTTGCAGATTCACGAGCGTATCCGGATAGATCCGCTCCCACCTGTTAGAGTCGGGTTGAATGCATCAAGGCCACTAGAAACACTAGAGCTCGGAAGCGAACAGCGCGATGCTGAGCATCATTCGGCTGGAGCTGACGGTATCGGCACTCCATCAAAAGAAAGAAATCCAAACTGATCGACTGCCGTCCGGCGAAGAAGTTGGTACCGTTGTGGCACCTGTAACCAATAAGTCGGCGAAGCGTTCGACGGGGAAAGACGACGGCAGTATGCGCGGTGTGAAGAAAACCCACAAGGACAATGGCAAAGCATTAGCTTTCGAGTAGATGGCTGGCCAGATACGGAGAGGGTCTTGCGATCGATGCATATAACTGGTAATAAAAGTTAGAAATATCAAACATTACATGGGCGGCTAATTGTGTGAATAGGTGACTTTTAGGTATTACATATAACAGACAAGGTCACTCGCGGTGTATGGGAGGGGCCAAGAATAGGCGATGCCGCTAGTGATGCAGTAGAATGCGTTGGATGTAGCAGCGGTTGCGTTGGACGTAACCGCTACAGCGTGCTAAAGGTTCGTTGCTAGTATTACTGCTGATATTAAGTGGGAAATGTCTAACACGATGGTAATAATTGTGGTGAAGCGCCAGTTGACTTTTGCGAATAAGAAAACTGATTGATGGGAAGTGACCCGATCAAGTCCTGAGACTCATGGTCGACGACGGTGCGTCAGTGAATACGTCATCATC